CTTGTGTGAGTTGTACGCCCTTTCCTTTCTCTGCTTCATACTTTTGATAGTATGTATCAACATTGATGCTTTGTCGAACTGTCCGCTCAGATTTATTGGACCGGTTATTCTGACACACCCCGACAGTTACCGAATGTCTCAGACATTGCTGTTTAGCGGTGATGTTCTGGTAAACAAGGGAGCATCTGTTCCTTGTGGTGATGAGAGTGAAACATCGTATCCACATCGGAAGAGCCTTCGGTGGAGGGTAGTGGTAGCTCGGGATATCGAGCTTAGTGGGACCCAATGATGGTGCGCTTATTGGTGGAATGCATTCTATGTTTCAGAAGTAGGGACAGGGGAATTCTTCTAGACCATGGCAAGAAAGAGAAATTAGGGTCAACCTATCATACCTGCTGACATAGCTTGATGTATTACAGATTTGTATATATAAACAGTGAACCCCTCGACGACAGATGCACTGGCTGAAACCAAGATTCGGCCATCCACTCCCTCACCATGAGAGGAATTGTCGTTCTTTCTTTGCTCTCTGTGGCGCTGCGCGTCACGGCGGCCTTGACCGAATCCAACTTGCACAAATACCCTGGGGTGCTGGCACTTCAAAATTCCTTTAACCCCATCAAGGAGGCCTACTGGACTGGGTACCCTCACCATCGGCGAACTCCATTTGCTGTCTCTCCTGATGGAAAGTCCGCTTTCATTGCCTACCTTGACGCGAGCGAAACAAACATTCATGTGCAGCAAGTGGATGTAGAAACATTCAAGGCGACCGGAACGTCGGTTACAGTGTCCGGTGGCAAGGAAGGTATGTGATTATGCAACAATAGATCATGATGTGGGTGCTAAGGACACAGCGCAGCGGGCGGACTCGTTGCCCATAATGATGGATTTGCCCTCCTGACAAATGAGGCCATGCCATCTGGAACGACAAATGCACCCCCCAGCGACACACCAGTCCCCGTCCTTTACCGATACACAGATGGGAAACAGACGTGGAAGACGTGGCTGGGTGGACCCGGCGTCCACGAGACGGACGGTCTCTCCGCGTCGCCCGATCTCAACGGCGACCTGGTCTACTCTGAGGAATCGGGTCTCTACGGCGCCTACTTTGTCGTCACAGACTACTCTGGCGATGCAGCAGGACACTACGGTGACAGTATTCAGTACGTGGCAGATAATGGAACACTGGTCACGATCACCGGGGCTAGCAGCGCCTGGGGCTGTAGCCATAACACAGGTATCGCTTTCGAGTCCGCCGATGAACCTCCGTTCGCGAGCATCTGCGCGGAAGACCAGGGGGCTATTTGGCTGAATACCAGAACGCTGGGCATGTCAAGTGACGGGGTGAAGATCTCCAATGAGAATACCACCAACGGAGCATCCGGGGAGCCCATGGGTGGCATGTCTGGGAGCTACAGTGCTCTTGCTCGGTTTGCGGAAAGCAGTCGATACATCTTCGCCTGGGTTTCCCGTGGTGCGATGGATCTCACCGAAAACACGTGGATGGGGAGTGGCTACACTCATGCCCTGAATCGCACCAACAACCGCAACGTCGCCATCTCACTGTTCTCCGATAAATACACCATTGTTGGAGAGCAGGCGACCTCGGAAGTCGGCGCTGAAGACGGCGATGCCCAGATCAATTGGCTGACCGAAGGCGCCAACGACTGTTCGAATGCGCATGCGGCGACGTTCGGGAACCACAGTGCACTCGTGTCGTGGGAGGAGATCTCGGATCCCATTTGTGACTTCGTGGCGATGGGATGCCGGGGGCAGTTTGCCGGCACATTCTTTCAACAGGTGGATTCCCATGGGAACCAGGTGGGCAGCCCGTTGAAAAGCACAGATACCTTCGTTGCAGGCGATCTGGTGACAATGGCTGATGGTCGAATATGCTGGCCCTATGTGAGTATGGACTGGGATTTATCGCAGGCTGTGTATGCATTGGCCTCTGCCACCACCACGCAAATAAGCTTTGCCTGTATCGATCTCACTGGAAACTCTTCCTCCAATGCAACCTCATCGAACAGTACAAGTCCGTCGACTAGCACTGCACCGTTGAAGACTGCAACCGCATCCAATGGCAACGGCAAGCCGATGAGCGATACTCCATCGAATACCTCAGCAATGGGGGACAGTTGCGCTGCGACTGCTTGAGCATGTTGTGCGGATGGTGCTATGTCGATCTCGGTCAGTAGTAGGATCGGAGAACGCCTCCGAGTAGTCTACCATCGCTCAAATATTGCCAGAATCCATCTATTGCCTCTCTCTTTTGCTTCTGCTTTTCCTTCTATATCTTTTCTTATGGGAGTGGATTGGGTTGACAACATGTCTATATTCTTAGCGATGTGAACAATTGTAGGGATGCTTTCAACCAATACACACCGGAAGACAGGTACATTAGACTCGAATATAAGAGACATCGGAACCACATATATAGTATGTCTTCAAATTCTCTACATCTTACGGCGAGTCAGCCTAAGGATCTGATCATCTCCCTCCATTGGCTTTCCCGGACCAAGACTTGGTTTAGTTTCGTCAAGCCTTGGGAAGCCTTTCCCTCGCACGCCCAACACTTCTTGGTCCGGCCCAATTACCTCCAAGTCGTACCTCCAAAGGAGGAGTGCCAGATAGGCTAACACTTGATGCCTTCCCACAATCCTCCCGCTGCACAACGTTGTACCGCCACCGAACCCGCGAAACTCCACCTTTCGCAGAAGTGATTTGTTCTGGTGGAACCGGTAGCAATCAAACCGTTGAGGATCCGGTCCAAAGGCCGGGGTGTGCATCATTTGAGTCCGCTGCGGGATTATAACTTTGGTACCTTTAGGGATGCAGTAACCTTCCAGGGTCGTATCTCTCGTAGTTTCACGAAAGCTACTGCCTGTGGCGGTGAAGCGCAAGGTCTCATCGAACGTTGAATTAAAGATGGGACAGCTGTTTAGTAGTGCATCTTTGGTGACATCCGCGAGTATAGTTCCATCAATCGCAGGGGCGGAGTCGAGGTTTCGCATCATAGGCGCAATCTCCTCTCGAATCTCGTTCACAACTGTGGGGTTGTTCATCAAATGAACAATCATCCAGTATGATATGGCGTTGACATTGGAATTAAGCCTGGCACGCTTGAATCAATCACCAGCTTACGTCCATGGAATAGATAGCATAGAAAATCATCCGGCTTACCCCCAAAGGATCGTAAAAACGATGCCTGCAATATCTCGATCGGGGATTCCGGCTTGCTTATAGTCGTTATAGACATCATTAACGAATGAGACAGAGCCTGGCCGCTGCTCGGCGGGGAAGGCGTAGTATTCCACAAGAACCTCAATGAGATGATCCCGGAGCTGTGTAGCGTGCTTGGCTAGAAAGGATGGGAGTTTGTATGTGACCTGCCAACTAATGCGATCCCATGCTTTCAGAAACGATCGGATATTGGGCTCTAGCTCCAGTATGCGAGGGCCAAAAAATGATGTCAGCTGGGCATCGATGATCACATCACGACACATGCATTCCAAAGAAACCACCTTCACGTCTGGGGTTGAGGCGAGGACACTTGTCTTGTAGAACGAGTTCCACTGTAGTGTATTGTTCACATGGGCTAGTGAGTTAGCCATAAAACGGTGCATTTCATCTGGTTGTGTGAGTTGTTTGTGCAGCAGATGAATTCCTGTATGCGCGGCGGTCATTTGTTTGGCGTTTGGAAACAGCGATTCATAACCTTCCGCCGGAGTCCTCCACAAAAGCGGTTTAGTCTCGCGCGAGACAGTGGCGATTTCCTCGTAAACGAGGTCTACGAAGGGTTCGAAAGCAAACGTCTGGCTGTCACGATCAATAGCGGCAATTTGGGCAGCAGTCGTGACCATCACAATATCTTGCCCAGCTATACGTAAGGCACATAACTTGTGGTTGAACTCTTTCTTTGCCTTAGCAAAGAGAGCGCTAGAACTTCTAAAGAAAGGTATAGCATGACCTATAGAGTAGGAGAGTTTGTCACGCTAGTCAGTGGTGCTTCCCATCAGAGGGCCCTTACAACAAACCTAGATCTAGTACCATTAGCTATGGTGACTCGTAGGAAGAGAGGTGGCAGAAACCTACATGGAATCCAATATGGGAGGTACTCTAATCTATCGCGATGGAGCCGCGGGGAGATGGTAAATGCCCATAGTCGCCACGCAAGAAGTACCGAAAGCAAGAGATATACAACGCGAGGAAGCCTTGTCTGCTCCGCAGTGGCTATACCATTAGGATCGGTCGATGAGACGCTCCTCACTAGGTTATCCAGCATTTTGACTCAATGTGACCTATAAACATGAAGGTGCGAAGCGGAGAGGTAAGGAAGAGATCCTCATAAGGCATCGTCGCTCGACGCTTACTTTTGAATCAAGCCCCAAGACAGGGCAAACCAGTTGCTCAACAATTTCCGTATTCACTCCCAATTAGGCATTTGCTCGGAGAAGCGGAGAAGCGAAATAACACGCAGTTAACACGCAGTTGCATGTGAGGGGTAATGAAGCCACACTATCAGGCCCCTTTGGATGCATATGTGAGCGTCCAAGTTGGGCTGTGATTGTGCCATTAGGTTGGCTGTATGGGGGTTGGGATGCATGTCAGAAATGGTGCTGTCGTAGACCAAGCCATAGTCTGAAATGGCCTCAGCGTGGAACACAAAGAGCTCTCAGGGGCATAGCATCATCTATTGGGAAGACTGTAGATCCACTATTCACTCGCTGACGCAGCGACGCTACTCTGCTGCACCCTTACTGATCCCTGTCCCCTTTCACCTATAAAGTACGGAGTAACTAGGGCAAGGCGTAGAACCGCGGGAACCGACGATAATCAGTGAGACAAAGAATGCACGACACGCTAATGCAACCATGGCCACGTACCTTTTCCTTTCGTCCGCGTCAGTACCTCTTTTGTTTTCGTATCTTCACTTCTGATTCCTTGTTCCGCCGTATCTCCGTACCTCCCGCATCAAGCCGCCCACTGTGCCCATCTCCATGTTTCTGCTATTCCTCCAAACCCTGGCCTTGGCCTACGTGGCCTGGAGCTTGGTAGCGATGGAGATCAACTATCGCCGCGCGTGCACCATGGGGATTCCTCTCGTGAGACTCTGTATCGACCCCCAAAACCTCCTTTGGGTCCTGATTGAGCCCCATCTCTGGCCCTGGCTCGATCGACTTCCCATCCACTGGGGTAATTTTGGTCGCTATTCGCGGCGCGGATGGTACTTTGCTGACCGGGGCGAGTCACATCGCCGCTATGGTCCAATCTGGGCGCTGGTCACTCCCAAGGAAATTTACATCAATGTCGCTGACTCCGAAGCAATCCATGACATGTTCCAACGACGGACAGATTTTATCCGCCCGGTTGAACAGTATAGTGTGTCTTCCCTGGACCATTGTTGATATATGGCCCTGGTGTCTAATCATTGTGCTTCATTGTAGCGGTGCTCGAAGTCTATGGACCGTGTATCTCCACGGCCAATTCAGCTGATTGGCCGCGTCATCGAAAAGTGCTAGCCACTCCCTTCAACGAGAGTATTATGTCCTTCGTATGGGAGGAAAGCACTGAGCAGACCCACCAGATGCTTGGTATTTGGGCCTCTCCAAGCCTCGATAAGATCTCTAGCGTCGCAAAGGATACCCGCACGCTCTCGTTGAATGTCCTCGCTGCTACAGGATTTCGCAAATCGTATCCCTTCCAGAGTGCTAGTGGCAGCTGCCACAAGGAACAAACTAACCCTGTAAGCTATCGTGATGCCCTACAGACCGTCCTCGATAATGCCATCTTGTTGATGATTATGCCACGGCGATTCCTCTCGTTTTCGTTTGCTCCGCAATCATGGCAGCGATTGGCCAAGGCCGCGATAGAGTTTAAGCAGCACATGGTGCGTATGCTAGATGAGGAGGTGCAGGCGTTCAACGAGGGCAAGGCTGGCTCGGGGGGTCTTATGACATCGTTTGTGCGCGCCATGAATCGTGAGGACGCAGTGGGCAAAGCCAATGATGTGTCGCCAAGGGGACTGACTACTGACGAGATATTTGGCAACATCTTCGTGATCAACTTTGCAGGACACGATACCACGGCTAATACGCTGAGTTTTGGACTCCTTCTACTGGCCGCATACCCTAGTGTGCAAGACTGGGTTGCCGAGGAGCTCCTGTTGTTGGCAGACATCAAGGGTCAATATGCTGACCTTTTCCCCAGACTCAAGCGCTGCCGAGCTGTCATGGTAGGCCTGGTTTTCTCTGATAGCCGCATACCATTTAAATACTCACTTTTGACAGCTTGAAACCCTCCGTCTCTACCCCCCATCCCCTCCCTACCCAAATGGACCAACGACCAGCCTCAACCACTGAAGATCGGGGATAAAACTATAATGATCCCACCAAAGGTAGGAATCAATCCGAGTCTTCTCACGATGCACATCGATCCCCAGCACTGGGAAGATCCACTGGAGTGGAAACCCTCACGATGGGTCACAACGAGCAAGTCGGACAAGGCGACCTTGATTGAGCACGAACAGCTTATCACTCCGGTGCGGTGCACGTACTTCCCCTGGTCGGACGGGCCACAGAACTGCCCAGGCAATAAATTCTCGCAGGTAGAGTTTGTAGCGGTCATGGCGAGTCTTTTCCGAAATCACCGGATCAGTCCCGTTGCCAACGCGGGAGAGACATTCGAGCAGACGCGCGAGAGGGTACTGGCCACCACGAGGGATGTTGATCTGCAACTGCTTCTACGGATGAAGGATGCAGAGCAGGTACACTTGAGGTGCCGGCGAGTCTAGAAAGCAATCTCCCACTATGTAACCCAGGGAACGTGTATCATTTCCAAGGCGATATATAATATGGTTCAACCTACTCATGCTTGGTCGAGGTTTACCAATCAGTAGCAGCCACAGGCTTCGTAAAACCAATGGTAGGATAGATAGTCACATTCTCGCAGGTTGTGGGGTGGACCAGAGCGTCTTGAAGTAAAGATAGCGTCCAATATGAGTGATGACCGAAGAATCTATTTCCAGTTGTAGATTTGGCATATATATCTCAATAATCGATACATCTAACACTTTGCTTATGTTGCCCAAGGATATTCGATATTCTGACGTCTTCTATCCAACCCATATACCAAATGCAAAGTATCTGCTTCTCACTTATGGGCCCATCCAGTCAGCCTCAATGATGGCCATCCTCGCCCCAGCAGGCACAGTGACACCCAAAAACCGAAACCGCTCATCCGCCTCCTTGAATAACTCCCTCCACGTCTCCACGTCTCTTTCTCGAGCATTATTGAACGCCTTCATAGCGATATCCATAAACCTAGCAATCGTCATCGAGTCAGCGACATACTCAATCACACACATGGAACAGAACACAAAAATCTCAAACACATACCTCAGATCTCGATCAGCCTTAGGCCCCAACACCCCCGGCTCTGGAATACAAATGTCATTAACAACGACTCGAGCCCCCTTCTTCAACGCCGGAACCAAATTCCGGAGGATCTTCACGCAATATTTGTCCGACCAATCATGCAGAATCCAACGCAGAAGGTAAACGTCCGCTCCGTGGATAGGCTGAGGGGTCAGGAAGTCATGCGCCATACAGGTTACCCGGTCCTGGAGGCCCTCAGGCACACGCATAGCCCAGTTTGCGATGGTATTTGGCAGATCCTGGACGATACACCGAATCTGTGGGTATCGTGCGGCGATCTCGGTGCTAACTTCGCCGTGGGAACCACCGATGTCGACAATTGTGCCTTCGCCGGTACCGAAATCGTAATTATCCAGGAGATGGGACAGGTGGTAAGCTGGGTGGAGGTGGGAGAAACGCATGGCGGTTATGAATTGGGCTTGTCGGCGGGGGTCCTTCGAAATCTCGTCGAAGGGGTTCATGTTAGTGTTGAAGGCGAGAGAGTAGCCCTGTGGTAGTTAATGCGGTCAAGATCGTAGGCCTTGGTGGAGGAACTGAGGTACTGTCTTCTTACAGTTTCGTTAGGCTCTTCCGAACCAGGCCACTTCTCCGTCGCGTCCACTGTGCGTGTGAATGCGGGCCAGTATTCCTCGGCAATGTTGAGAAGCCACGCCTCTACCATGGGGTTGTTGACCAGGAGCTTGGAGGCTGCAGTGTGGCCGATGACACCTTTTCTGGGCTCGTAGAAGACATGGCGGCTGATGGCTACTCGAAGAAAGCGAGTGAGATCCTTGATGTTGAGATTCGTTACTTGGGCGAGCTCTTCGAAAGTGATTGTGCCTTCAATGGGAATTTGAGGGGCGATCTTATGGCGGTAGATGTATTGGAGACTGAGGAGAAACAATTGCTTGTACAAAGGTCAGACAATAGAAAAGAAAAAGTGACGAAAACCCGGGGAAAGGAAGCGAACCTCGCCAGGGCAACTAAACAGAAGCCCCAGTGGACCTAAGAGTAAGTGATGGAGCTCGTAGGTTGCCTCAATGGCGGACTCCCGGGCCTCTGCCACCTCCCGTGGAAGTGGCTGGCAGGGATCGAGTTCATCGCCATACTGATATGATGGTTCGGGGAGGTTCAAGGACTTCACAAAGTCAATATAAACCTTGGTGGTGCTGTGGACTCTTTCCAGTAATTGTGTCATGCTGCCTGTTGTGGCCTTTCGCGATGAGCACCGAGTCTGCATTAGCCCTAATGACCGGCGGTACCACGAGCGCGAGACAATTCGAATGGACAAGGCCCGTACGGGCAAATGAAAGCTTGCCATATTGAACGATAAAAGTGATCAGTTGTTAGAGGTGAAAGGAAGTTGATTTCTTGTCTACCGTTGTGCGAATTATTAAATCTCATGGTGTCTATATGAGTGCTCCCCAGGCCCACTCTTTCTTAATCCTTGTTATGGGATATGTCTGGAAGCCCAGCCCGGGCTTCCCCACATGAATCCCCTCAGCAGCTGGGAATAGCCCCTTTGAGGTGGTGTGTACTATAGGGACTGGATGCTATTGTAGACAAGTATGCCCAGGGGGTTATAGCAGCCCACTAAAGCGCATGAAAAAGCAAGTCACAATCCTGGTTATCGTAGTGTCTCTAATAGGCACAGCCGTAATTGATCTCCGAACGAAATGCCCTCACAGTACGGTGGCTCGCCGTGCTGAGGTCGACTTTCACCGGATAGAGAATGTGGCTCACTATTATTAGCCCAGTCATAGCAGTCTCAACGAGGGCATGGCACATGTGCAATGTCATCAGGGTGTTGAATGATGATCTGTATCGGGCATTTTCCCAGTCAGTGAGCTGGCAATCGCCGTTCTCGGTGTCTCTTAATAGTCCTAATTCATCGATAGCAGCCTACCCTTTGGTGCCGTTTTTCTCCTCGGACTCATGCTCTTTCCTAGCTTGAGAACACGCGCATCGTATCAGTCCAGTGCCAAGCGGGATTAATTTTGTCCTGCTGATGCCTTCAAAAAAGACTGCATTAGTCCTTGTTGGCGCTGACGTGAACCAGTGGCGTTATTACGTGAGATTTCGATTCTTCTTGTCTAAACCGACCTTCAAAGGTACCTTGCATACTTGTCGGTGGAATAAGTCTTACCTAAATATACTAGCGAGACAGGCCAATGACATGGATGGTTATTTTACCAGCAGTCCCGGTTCTTTCCCACTATCTTTGCGCATCTCTCAATCTCTCTTTCCCATCCCATTGGTGACACTGCCTAGCAATGACAACATCGTGTCTGTTGCCATGGGTGAAAGTGTCAATCTTAGTACTATCTACGAACAGGTTTTAATCGTACCGGGAAGCAGGCTTTTGAAGCTGGGGTGGGGAAGCTTAATGTATTCTTGCTGACTGCACGTTTACTTTGAGTGACTTGTGTACGTTATAATAGAAATCAGTCTATTCATTTGTAGTCTCAGAGGTATCATCATGTTCACGAATAAAATGTACAGCACACGGAAAGAATGGGTCAGCATTAGAAAGAGAAAGAGAAAGCCGAACGGGAGGGGGGAACGAACAGCAGACCGTTCCCAATGAACTAGCCATAGTGGCATCATATTTCACCTTTTAGATGAAGTAACCACCTCAAAGTCACTGCGAACATGCACAGAATCCATCGGCACAATCGCCGCGTCACTTGTCTGTGACTCGGTGTCAGAGCGTTCCCGCGACAGGCCATATTTCTTGCTCGGTACACCCAACAGCGGGTTCTGTGGTGTATGTTTGACCTTGCCAAATAGATGCTGGTTCTGTGAGCTGACAAAAAGCTGCCTGAATGAAGCGATACACGCAATGATGATCCCTATCGGTATTTCATCAGCAAGCGCAATTACTTTAAGAACATTCAAGAACCACAGGAGATAACACACCGGTACCCATCTCCACGAAACTCCAGAAGTACAACCAGCCGATATCCACACTGCTGTTTAGAGAATTGTTGACGACCACCCGGATAATGGCCACAGCCATCACAAGGATGGTCGCCGAGAAAATGCCGAAAAGAATTAACTTCTTACGAAGCGAGATGCGGGTATTCCATAGAATGAGAATAGGGATTGAGAGGACTTAATCTCGCAAAAGAAATTAGCTCCATGCCCCATCAGGTCGACTTGAATCAACTCACTCAAGATATCTGTGACAATATCTCCGACACAGTTGGCCCAGAATGTACGGTTCTGGTAATGGACATGATCGAGGTCGCTGCATTTGGCTGATTATAACTCCCTCTTAGTATTCATCTGCTCGGCCAGGTCAGATTGCCAAATTCTCACTGATGATAAACTCTATTCCACCTAGACTACATCTGTAGTCGACGTCGGCCACGGACGCAACATAGACGCCTCCGATGACCACGAGAACGACGTACCACCAGATACGATGGCTCTTGACCTTGGAATCAAGGCGGAAGAAAAAGGACATAAACGAGAACTTGATGGCCCACAGCCCCGAGTAAAACATGATAGTCATAGGAGCGATATATCGCATGAATGATTCAAACATAGGTAGAACGGCCGGGGTATATGATTCCTGGCCAGCGCTGATCGCATACAACTTGTAAAGCACCTGCCCCTGGATTTGCCAGATGATCGCGTTTGTCAGCATAATAGCCCATGCGAGTAGCACGAAGAAATCATCGACAAAGAGGCGACGGAAGAAGGCAATCCGGACAAATATGCGAAAGAGGACAAAGATAGTGTCAGTGGCCGTAAAAGCCCAGAGTACACCCTATAAAACGAAAGGTTAGTTGCACAGAGAACGGATGTCTCTGAGGAGTGACACTCACCAGAAAGGCACCTTTGGAGACTTTGGCGTGCAGCATTAACATTGAGTCTGCCATGATGTCTGAAACCTAGGCTGCAGACACCGAATAGACTGTTGAGCGATGAGGAGAGAAATGGGCTGGAAACGCAATAAAAGGACTCAGTTATATCGGGACAGTGAAGGCCACTGTTCCGAGAAGGAGCTGACAAGAAGAGGGTTCAAACCAATGCAGATACCCTTCCCATCCACCAAAAATAGTTTATTGCTCTCCTTCTGTTGCATAGAAACCCCTCTGACTTCAGTGGGGGCCCATTCGCCAGGCAGGGTGCCATTCAAGGCGACAGCGCCATGCAGAACAGACTTGGCAATACAATTACGATGGACTATTAAGAGGCAGTGCTATAATCCATGCATCAAACCCCTCATTTACGGCATTGTGAATACCACCTGGAGCATGATCTGCCGTCAATGTTCAAGGTATATTGTAATCTTCCCGCCTTGGTTAACTGGACGTCCGATCGAGGTCGGATTGCTTCGAGGTAGGCTAAATAGAAGTGATTCCAACTGCTTCTGCATGTGGGCCGCCAGATAGTCTCACGGATGGAACCGCCTTTGGCAGTTTGATCATGCCTGCAATCGGTCTTTCTTGGCCTGGGATTGGGATGGTAGCTGTGGGTACAGTGGTGGTACTTTGGGCTATGTTAAGGAAGTTACAAACCCTCAGCAATGATCCCAATGCGCCACGCTGCCTTCCATACTCACTACCGTTCCTGAAAAGTACCATCCCATTTGTGCTCGATGGACCAAACTTTTTCCGTTGGGCCTCGTGAGTGTGCACTCCCGTCAAGATATGAACATCCGGACTAACCGACCGCCAGCTGCTATTGCCAGGACCGTTGGCCAGTGCGGGTAAATCTTCTGAATGGTGAGGTCTATATAGTCCAAGGGGCTAAAAACATCGCTGCCATTTTCAGCAAGCCCGGCCTTACAGTTACCCGAGCATATAGCATTGCACTGAAACATTGCTTTGGGATGGAGCAGAAAGCCGCTGATGTCTATCTCGCTGATACTTCGGGCTCCTGGCATCGACTATCCCCGGCAGCCAAACGCCGTGGCACGGCCGTGTGAGCTATCATACCCACGAGAACCTCGTTCGAGGCCTCTTGGGTGCTGGGCTAAACCCAATGACGGAGCGCATAGAAGGACTGTTATTTGCCTCATTGGCAAAGGCCCTGCCAGCGACTCCGGAATGGACGTATGGGAAGGACTTGACCGAGTTCTTTGAGAACCATCTCGGATCAGCCATCCTGCAGGCCTTATACGGCCCGCTGCTGGTCAGAAAAAACCCAGAGTTCAACCGCAACCTGTGGCGGTATGATAAACAAATAATGAAGCTTGCCACGCGCTTGCCAGCGTGGCTGATCCCGAAAGCCTATCGTTTGCGGGATGAACTTCTCGATGTTATCATGAAATGGCATCAACAGGCTGCTCTACTCTCGGAAACGATGTCAAGCAGTAAAATGGCTGGTGGAAGTGAAGTCGATCCATACTGGGGATCGGCCATGATGCGCGAAAGAAACAAGATGCTGTTGAACATGGAAGGACAAGACGCCAAGTCGGCGGCATCCACAGATCTTGGCTTTATCTGGGCGTATGTCTTGCAGTGCTCATTTTCTTGCGCATTTTCTCTTCTTCCCTATAAGGACTAATCTGTGACCAGCTCTGTTACCAATGTTGTGCCATCGACCATGACCCTTTGTACTCACATGTACCGTGATTCCTCACTCGTCGAGGATATTCGTATAGAGGTTCGGGATTGCATTCAGCCGGGGACCACCTCGCGGTTTGATCTCAACAAGCTTGCGAAGCAGCAGTTTCTGCTCTCGATGTATGCTGAGACCTTGCGCTTTGGTGTACAAATCCATATCCCTCGCTGCTCACCACACCAACCGCTTTCCGTGGCAGGAGCAACCATCCAGCCGAATAAAATGATCCTCATAAACACAGGACTCGCGCATTCCGACGAGTCAGTATGGAACACACGAAATGGACAGTATCCGCTGGATACCTTTTGGCCGCAGCGATTCCTTGTTGATCCAACAGACGAAAGTAGTGGGCCTTTACGAAAAGACTATATTCAGCCATGTGTCTCGCCTTCTACGGAAGAGGACAAGAAGATGAACAGCCAAGTTCCAACCTCAAGGCAATTTACCTTAGAAGGGCTCGAGGGAAGCTGGATACCTTATGGAGGTAAGACCCACTCGACACCTTTGACATTTCCTACATAAGACACTTGGCTGGCCATTAACGAGATGTAGGTGGACAACACGCATGTCCGGGTCGGAATCTAGCCAAACGTATTATATTGCTCGCAAGCTCGATGATGGCTATCATGTTTGACATCGAGCTACTAGCTCCCGACTCGTCCTTGCAGTTTGGTTCGCCCCGGTTTGGATTTGGGGTCCGTAAGCCATCCGCACAAGTGCCTTTTCGGATCCGACGCCGACAACCAGTCAGTGAACATTAGAGTGAGACGGGTTCTCGTAAGGACCGGAGGTCAATCAATCAATGTTCGGCGTACAGCGGACACTGGCGGTCCTCATACAATGGCATCGATCTTAGAAGTCTTGATTTTAACTAGAAAATAATATCGTCCACCTCTCCGAGCCCGGGTTTGGATAATAATGGACGCATACAGCTTTGATAAGCGCAGATATAGATCCAGAACCCTCTTCTCTGGGATCCCTATGAACCAATATGTCACCAGGTGCAGCATCTTTCTCAATCAATTAATCAAGATTCCTTTAAATTGTTGGGGCCCGACTACGGAATGTCTAGCCATGAAGGCTACTTCCCGGTGAAGCATAACCCTGTACCAAACGCAATATTGAGTTCTTGATGAACGCGCATACTAGGGGGAACTTGGACTTCTGTGGGAAACCATGACTATCAAATTCCGCTCTGGGGCGTTTGATGATGCTGTATATGGCATGGGAGAGGTTCAGAACGCTGGTAACTGCAATCCATCGGACGTATATTAGCGTAACTTGCAACAGAAGTCGAGGTGGCACCTGAGCGAGAAGCTGCCTACTCAACATAAGATTTGCGGACAGAAGGAAGGTCAATCGATAGCATCGACACCCTATCGCCCGTGATAGTTGAAGATGTGGACGTCTGGTATACAGGTATATAGAACATGCAAATCGCGCTCAATGCCACAGCGTGCCGAAAGGAGAAAATAGAGCAGTTCCAGCATGGGGCTACCTGTTTCTTGAGGATATAATCCGCCGTCTTCTAGTCAATTAGCTGCTCGTTCATCATGCTTTCTGGGAATTCGTATATCAGCACTGTGGGAGTAAGGGACACAATGATCGTTCTATTCGATCGTTGGCGGTGGGATCGGTAGCGCGCCATTTATGATGCCAACGCTGAGACACTCTTTTAATTCAAGATTAGCATCGTAGCTCAGAGAGGCTACTCTGAGTCTCACGCTGAATTTCAGGGGCAATAAACTGTTGCCCTACTTCACCGTCGCTTGTGGGGTGGAAACTGAGATACTACGAGTAGGTCATCACACGGTGATAAACGCATTTATAGATATACTTATTTTGAATAGTCGTACTCAAGGTTCATTCGCTACACATGATGATGGGTTATTTCCCAGTTGTCACCAACAAGTCATAAAGGTAAAGGAGAGAGTGTAGAGCCTGTTAGAGACTATATTTCAAGCTCATCACCGGTTTCTCCAGGAAGATTCGATGACTTCCGCCGCGGTCATAATCTGGATGTCAGGAAATCGAGTGTCCAAAGTATCATTGCTGGTAATAGTATATCCCCCGGTGCCAGATATGTAGTGGAATAATGCGAAAATGGACTCCGTTGAGTGTCCACTACTTTCAAGCCCAGTCTCCTCGAATTTGGGGAAGGATATTCGGCCATTTCGAAGGTCTTCGAGACTGTCGTGTTTGACAGAAAAGCGTTCACCTGGTACACAGGTAAGTGGAAGGATTTCCATTCAGCATTTCGGGGGTACTAATCGTACCTCGCGCATTTTCCGCCAATTGAAGAATATCCTTGAAAGATGCAGTCTGGCCAGCAATGAAACTCACCGGCGGCCACTCCGATAAGTCCATGAGTCTTGCGACAAACCGTGCCATGTCTTGGGAAGTGATGAAGTTGACCTTGGAGGTCCCATCGCCCGGAAGAACTGCCCATTTCCCTGCCACGTTGACTGCATTGACCCATGGTTTGAGATGGCTTCTCCAGTGCGGAAGGCCATAATAATCCAGGAATAGCCCATTTACCACGCGCGTATATTCGAGACTCGATTCCTCGACCGCGTGAGTCGCCGCCAAAGCCCACTTTGCGGTGGGCACCAAAGGGATATGCCTAAGGTTGTCATCAGCCGCCTTTGATCCTCATCAGAGAGAATGACAATCAACGGACTCATCCTTAAATAACATATCGTACCCACCCACTACGAAGCGCTTCGTCGACCCCGACATGTCTGCGGCATGGATAAGATTGACTTGGGCCTCACTGATGGCATCCGATTCCATGCCGAACGCACAGATGACAGTGTGGACCTCTGCAGCCTCGAGAGACTTTGCTGTAGCGCCAACGTTGCCGTAGTCTACCGACAGGTAGGTGAGCTCGTCGACTGGGTGGTGCAGCTTCCGTTGTACTCAACGTATCAGACTCTCGCAAACATACCCCAGCGACCGGAACCCAGGGATGACTGGCTCACCTTGCGCGTGAGGATGAGAATCGTGTGCTTGCCATGCGCCACGAGGGCTTCCACGATGGTCTGGCCGACACTACCAGTTCCCCCTGCGACTGCGATAATCGCCATGGTGTCGATGCTTTGAACGGGGGGTACACAACGCGAGAGACAGATACCTGGGAAGGATTTCCTTATACGCTCGGTAACGTACAAGAGCGATGGCTAGTCAAGCATGAGGACATATTCCCATCATCAACTCCCAGACGCAATGGCAATACCGGGCTTGGCAGAATAAGCACTAGTGGCGACAATCTGACTCTGTGACTCACTTGACTGTGCACCATTCGTACATAGGTCGGCAGGATGCGTCCGAGGAAATGGTTTTCATTCAAGACTACGTTCTATGTATCTTTACCCAACGCTGCATATTGCCACTGTAGCCCTCACCAGGTTTCCCTGAAGGTCGAGCGATGCAGTGCAAGTTATCCACGCCGAGACACAACCAATTATATATGCCCCTCACAATCGTTCCTTGAATCCATCCACCGGAAAGCATTCCCTGTCTGGCTCACACTGGGCTGCTGGGCTTTGCAGTTGTATGGATTCCATTCGTTCCGACAGCTCGCGAGTAGCCTATCAGACAGCTGCGTATGCCCATTGGAGCCCGAGTCCCGGAAGCAAGTGGCCTTTTGTTGGTCAGAAGAGAGAGGGGAAGAGAGAAATGAATCCTTCAAGCGCTCTACGCTGGTGATCATGACGTCGAAGGATCCTGCGAGCATACAGCGGTCCTAAGGATGGAGAGATGTTCATGTTGAAACTCGAGCGCTCTGCAAGCAGGGCATATTGTACATGGAACATCAGCGCACCTAACAGTTGACAAGTACCAAGACATGGTCGTCGTTTTTTACCTCCCCCTGGGGGTCATCGGGCTTACGCTCTGGGGTGGGATCTCCATCGACAAAAGTGTTGGTATGGTATGCGAGTCGGTGCCCAAGGCAGACATGACCGTACTTTGCACTGTTTGCACCGTGCGCATGCTTACGTACTTTGGCCGGAAGCCGGGAGAGCGTGGAGCCGCGTCATGTGACTCCGGGGTTGGATGCACGCATTCATTCATTCATTCATCCATTCATGCTATCAATCAATGAATCAAGCTCCTGCAGCGGAAATCATTTATAGACACATTCCCCATGTTCACTTCCTTGCGAGTGCCGCCAGCTTGGCCTTGATCGCATCCGCTGACACCTTCTCGTCCCAAATATAGTTCACACTCTCCTGCCGCACGGTTGCTTCCGCCCACCGTTTGAACCGCGGCGTGTCCTCCAGCAAGCTCGGGACCTTCTCACTCAGCAACCCGTGTCTGTGGAAGGAGAGAATGCGCAGAAGGAATGAACCGGTCAGCACCTCGGCCAAGGTCAGCTTCTCGCTACCGCCAAAGAACGGACCTTTGCCATCCGAACCCTCCGGCAACTGATGCTCCAGTTCCGATTGGATCGCAGCGACAAGTGCCTCCGCAGCAGCGTCCCGTTCCTCCGAGGTGGAGGCCCGCAAGGACGTCTGGAAGTGGGGTTGGACCTTGCTGAAGAACGTGTCGACGAAGAAGGCGATGCGAGCGCGTTGGATGGCACCGTTCTCGCTGTTGGACGGAGGGAGGAGGTGCGACGGATGGGCGTCGGCCAGGAATTGGGCAACAACTGCGGACTCCGTGATGATGTGCTCACCATAGGTGATGGAGGGGACAAGGCCGCGCTGCATGTACGTCAATATGTGCATGCAGGGAATGTTCGCCGGGCGTAGGCATTGTAGCAGTACACATACCGGATTGATGTCCAGATACCACGACTCTCGCGGCTTGGTCAGGTCAATGATGACTTCCTCGTAGTCCAGTCCCAGTTCCTTGAGGGCAATATGAGCACGGTGCGCCCAGGGACACTGGTGCTGGTGTACAGCGTAATCTTTGGAGTGCTCATTCTGATGTTGTTCCTTGGTTGTTGTCGAGTGGTGGGAGAGAAGCGAGAGGATGGGGAAGACGGAGGCGACCGACGGGGATTATGTTATAGATATACGCACCGCAGCGGGGGCGGGCGAGTGGATTTCTAATCCGATGGCGTGACGATATCGCCATCCTCTGTCGAGGGTTATACGTATATCCGGCCATGATTCTCCGGTGTGTAGGCTCTGCCAAACAAGGATGCGAGCCTCAGGCTCCGTGGAAGTTTTCTGACGTCGGGATCGCCCAACAAGACATGGCGATAGAGCGTGTACGCATCCAGACGGCCGTTCCGCTTGGCAATACTGGCTTTTGCATTGCTGACTATCACTATCCAGCTCCTTGCGTATGGGTATCTTGTATCTGTCTCGTGTATGCTCGGTCTGTTTTCGTGGTTTTGGGTGGGGTTGGTCAGGCCAACAGCGCCAGGCTTCATCACGTTCCAGCCACACACACTTATATATATCTGCCCTCGGCATCCAGGCATATATACGTAAAACCAACAACGGAAGAACCACGGCCTTTAAAATTACAGAAAATTCATGGAAAATCACAGCGGCACATGCTGAGTCATCGGTTGACTTTAAAAAACAATAAGGGGCGAGGTTGAGTGAGAATAAAAAGAATAATCTGTCGTGGCGGTCGAGTTTCGAACGCGCAACCTCGAAGGCGCGAAGGCAAAAATTATACCACGGAGTTACCGTGTTGTCTGACACTATCGATTTTCAGACCGTGATTGAAACCCACTGAATGCCAGCGCGACTCTCAACAGCAAGCTCTCCACGCATTACGGAGGGGAAGTCGTGCTGGATTGGAACGTCTTCCCCTCCGTAACGCATGTTTGGACTCGCTGCTAATCCAATAACACCGATACCGATTGTGGTACCCCCAAACCAACGTGAATGCCTTCAGGACTGCGCCTCTTTTTCCCGATCAACCGATCTGCAACGCAATCGATAGACAGCACATCCATACCTATCCTCATCGTGCATGCGCTGGGCGGGATACAAAGGAGAGAGAGAGAGATTGAGGCATGGGAATATGAACGAGGGGGGCATAGATAGATATCGAAGACTGTTGAATAATCGAATGGTATCCTTCTTACATGGACCACCGAAAACATGACTCGCGTAAGGAACAGCTCAATCAGCGCAGGCCAGTGATCTTCACGGGAGTCGACATCATCCCTACGCACTGGGCCGTCTACAAGTCGTTCTTTGATATCGTCTTCCTGGACTGCATCTGGCATACAAGCACAGCTTCGTGGTGATGTCGGTACCGACGGGTCGAGGGGAGTTCTCACACCCAATACACGACCTATGTACCACGACATGGGAAACCCTCACATCCGACTTGGTGGTGGTCTTTGTCCCTGGGCCTGAAGGGCTATTTTGCCGACAAATTCGTTGTTCGCCCTGGGGATGAAGGTCAGTCTATCGACAGAAGTTCAGCCGTTAGTCCTTGGGGTCTTTGAATCCGCGACACAGAAGTATTCAGAGTTTTACTCGATTGCAAATCATATGGTTGAAAACGCTATGCTATGTACAAGAGGCAAGCGACCGAATCAAGTTTTCGAACGACAGAGAAAACAGCATCGCACCCATACATCCAAGTACACCCGCACATATCAATCAGCCGGATGAAGCCCCGTATACTACTATCTCTGCCAGGCCAACATTACGAGTGGACGGGCTAACGGACGTTACCATGAAGAAGAGACTGCGCGTGGTTCTCTCCCCAAAGGGAATCCTGTTTGGTTTCCCATAATTGTCCAGTGCACCAACGGGAATGGTACTGTCATCATCAAATTGAAGAATGCCACCGGTGACTTGCTCATTGACATTGGGACGGTCGTAGAGATAGACCTCGGAGATCGACTGTGGTTTGGCCCATGTAAGCTTCAAAGTGCTCCCAGCTTTTCCATCCACCGTTGCCCATCCTTTGGTTCATATTCCTGGATAACCGTCTATGGTTACACCCAGGGCCTTTCCCGCTGTCTGGCCATGGTCCGCATCGTGCGAAGATGCGATCGCCGTTGCGTTGCGCGCAACATTCTGCAGATGGGTTGCGACACTGTCATTTCTGCTGGCGTACTCCTGGTCTTTCCACTTCCGACCACTAGGCAGAACCCCAGTGTTTCCGAAGATTTAGGACTGGTGAATGACGGGTGCGCTGCTGTGGCATCGGAGAGGGCAACATCGGCTTCTCTAATCTGCGTCCATTGGTCAGTAAGGGAGTCACCGTTGGGGTGTCTACTTTCCGTACCATCAAGCACGACCTTCTCCTCCAACCCAACCGTCCGACGGTTGTCTAGGAGACGGGAATTCGCTACGGGCTCCCAGTGACAGCGTACTGTCGCTGCAGCCACTGTGCCTCGTTGCCATCACCACAGCTGGCTACGTCATGGCAAACTTTGGAATCGTGCGCAGCGTATGTGAAGAACGCGGATTGTTTGACCTGGAGATCATCGCCAAACACGTTCTGTGCCATCGATTGGATCGGGTACCCCGTGTACCCAGTCAGAGTATGAGTGGTGGAGTATCGTTCGGCTGCCTGTTGAACATAATACGCCGTGGTGTAGTGGTCACTGTGGTCACCACCACCATACTCATGGGTGTAGTCCTGAGTATTGATCCGATCCGGACTGAAATCACTCATCAAACTCGCCAGTGTATCAATGAGCTCGTCATTTGTGTAGCTGGTCGATCCATTCACCGTTTGGATGCTACTGATTTCCGACTGCCAGAGTTTCTGGAGGCTGGTACTTCCGGTACTCGGGAATCCATCTCCGACACCATTGCCGTCCGGCAATTGCAGGAAGACCAGGGAGATATCTGGATTTCCGGCAAGTGTAAAGGCGGGAATGTTTTTCCCGTCAATGCCAGCGTCCGATTGCGTCCAGATGTCACTTACATCGGCCATCTGCGCGTATGCGGCTTGAGAGCCCGCCTGACGCTGCTCCCAGTAGCCCGTGGAAACTTCCCCTGCGTCGCCTGCAGTTAGGAAAACGGTGCGCACTCTGCGACCAGCTTGAACTTCATGCAGAATGTCGGGGCTGAGGAAGAGTAGGTCATCGTCCTGATGCGCAACGATGTTCAATGTCTGTGCAGCCGAACATGGTAGCTGGTCGAGGAAGCCAATGGCTGCGATAAGAAATGAAGCTCTCATTCTAAGAAACCGGAGTTTTGCGTACTATGGGAACTTAGAATAGCGAAAAGTATCATGCAGAGACTGTCCACCTGTCCTGAGGGAATTGTCAATCTGATGAGAGCGCAAGTTCGTTTGTAAGCCTGTGCCCACCCTTTAAACACCATGTTAACTGCTCCTCGTCCCTTATTGTGTGGCCTGACATTCCAACAGCTTTGTGTTTGTTGTGTCTCATTCCTAACCCCTTGATTCTCACCTTGCAATCAAGCCAGGCCCACTGGGTTTCCTTTGGGGTTTTGGCAGGGATTCCCTGGTGTAGGCTTGTCTTTCGCAGGCAGGTCGGATTGCTTCACGCATCACAACAACTCGACAACCTTCTGATTGGAATTCTAATTCTGCCTCCCGTGCACAACATTCAATCATCTGCGGAAGAATGCTGATGAGAAACATGGTTCCCGACTGCACTCTCAATCGGTGCACAGCCAATGAATCTTTAATATTACGTGTTTTCTCATTCTTGTTTCCTCGCTACCTGAGGCTATACGTACACTGGGGGTGAGACGCTTTCTGGAATGCTCATCGACCAATAGATGAAGTCAATCCATGGATCATGGTTCCATACATCAGTCTCCTTGATAGCTGCAGAAACAAGGGGTTCCTCCTCGTCAAATGGTGAGCCATGGAACGGCCTGCGTTACGAGGAGCTCAAGGGTACCATGATAAGATTCCCGATCGAGCCAATTAGATATCTATATTCGCATAATGTATCATTCGGCAGCCGAATCGGCGCACGATTCAAACTTCAAAGCACATACCGAGAATTGCCAAAAACACCTGCACCGGCTCACCCCGGTAGAATTTCCAAGCGTAGATCGAGCATTTAGTCCAACCCGTAGCCTGGGGTTTGAAGGCACAACACGAAGAACCTAAACTCTTGGTTCTCCCAGGGTCCATCGGGTAGTCCTCTTCCAGTTCCTGCGTCCGACACTGGGACACAGCCCTTGGACCAGGAACGGCTTCGAACGGTAGTAGTCATACGTTCGCGAGTACACTTAGTTTACTGAGTGCTACTTTCCCCGAAAGTTGGGATAAAGCCAAGCCTCTCACAGGGTTCGATTGGAGAAGTTGATATGGAGGAGAATGCAACAGCAGATGAAATGAAGCTATCACAAGTACGACAAAACTTACTGTTCACAGGTGACATGCATTAAGTAAGAGGGAATTGGGTCAGGAATGCAGTGTATTGATCTGACGGCTTTTCTCCAAGGACTGCAGAGTTCCAGACCCATGTTGGTTGGTGTATGCACAGAGATGAACAGGTGCCTCCGAAACAGACTACTTCCTTAGGGTTTTCTTGGGTGAAATTGTCGCTCCTCAGCCATGATATCGCACGATATTTCTTTTGTTTTTAAGTTCTTTCGATGCAGTTCATACTGGATGTCCCTGCCCTCTTGGGTCCTTGTTGACAGGAAAGAACGGCCGTAGTTGTTACTAGTAGTAGTGGGTCCGTTGGTGTCGAAGCCTCCAGGCCAGGCGGATCTATTTGGTGTTGGAGTGGGTCATGAATAATATCTGTTTGTCGTTCTTTCATAGTCAGAAGGGAGGGGTGGGTGGGCCATTTCAAGTTCGGTACTCTTTCCAATGTTGTTGATATTGACGCTCAAAGCCTTGGACAAATCTGCGGCGTCATGATAGCCGAGATTGAGGTTGTTCCATAAAGGTGCCCATCATCGGAGATCCTATTCGTATGACCACAGGGGTATGACTAAAGAGTCATTCTACACCGTGCGTAAAACACAGAAGACATGATGGGTAATTAGTATTGGATCTTATCCTACAGAAAGTTCTGTACGCTATCCTAAACGCGACATAATCATGGCTAGTGCTCCGCCACAGATACCTCAAAGGTGGTCTGCACCGTCACCGTTGGTGGCAGATATTTTGAGGAGGGACTCTCCGCACGACTACCTTGGATTGTAGTCGTATTGGTGATATTCTTATATCCGTCATTCGGAATATCTGCCCAGCGAGTGCCAGATTCGTGGCTGGACAGCTTTTGCCTCTCTTTGCGGGCAAGAAGTGACCGGGATAAGTGGATGGCTGACCCCGTGTTTCTTCCTTGACTCGGGTTGGAACTGCCGTCGCGCAGCCTTCGCACAAGGGGTCGAAGGGTTGACAGACAGCCAGCTGTGATTCCGAGGACGGCTTCGATATTCGCTAAGATAAAGAGGGTGGCGGTGCCATCTACGGCGCTGTTAGTTGGATGTCGCCGAATCCTAGCTGCTTGCTATCAAACGGTGTACATACAAAGAAAGTCTGGGTCTTTGAAGGTTTTGTTGTATGGTAAACGAACCACAACCGCAGCGCCCGCCCTAAAGCCATGACAGGATCAATCAGCACGGGTCCTTCCCCGTCGCATTATGCATAGCATGGCTCAGGAACTCACAAACAACCCAACCCAAGAATGCCTCCGAGAAACATTTTCACACGTCTATTCATTTGTAGCCTCCAGATCATGAAAATGGGTAGAATACCCAGGGTGAGGTCACACAGAGCAACAATCACACTATGGGTATAGACGACGTCGAGAAGCAAGTCTTTGCTGATGCAGTGGGAAGTCATCATCCCATGATCCCAGACGTAATGGATGGGGCGACATTCGAGGAGGGTCGTGAAGAAGAGGAGTAGGCCAACCACGGTACTCAAGGCAATCGTCGTATAGATGATGATCAGGTGTACGCGAACGATGGTGATACGCAGAAGTGAAATTGCAACGGAAGCCCTGCCAGCGGTGCCCGTCAGAGAGTAGAATACCTGGCTAACCCACCAGAACTAGAACTGGATGAGTACATGATCAATTTAAAACAGAACCTATGATGGAATGGGTAGCATACACGCAGCGAGTCTCTCATGTTGTTCGGTTTGTCCGCAAAATACTCTATCTTCTTTCCCAGCCCTGTTGAGCCGCCGGCAATGCCACAGATAGCGAATGCAAGATTGAATGCCATTGCAAGGATCATCATATAGTCATCCGCGCCAAAAGCCCGGATTAGATGCAGTCGGACGTAGCATCGCAGGCTGACTGCAAGCAAGGATAGCCCTAGAGAGATGGACGTCACGATGATAATTGCCTCACTCTTGTCATCCGCCATTTCGACGAGATGAACGGCCAAACGTGTGGTTCATGGCCTGCCTGCTCCGCATCTTTTATAAGACGAATCACAGAATAGGGTTCTTGCTAATCAATTACTCAGGTAGAGGGACGTCTGTGCCCCAGTCAACTTGATTGGTACACTATCCCTCTTGCGTGTAGTGGATGATTGAGCATCACATTTCTCACTCGGTAGATGAGCCCTCCACAGTGGGATACATAGCTTTCTCTCACTAGTACGGGACTTGACTTCGTAATAGTGCCACTCACTGGTCATAGCGGCCAATTGTACCTAGCCATCCGATGGCTTGGATCGGCCGTCTTTCGGCACTGTCCAGGATTGACCCATCTTCACTTGGCCCCTGACGGTTGAGGCTCGATTCTATGCAATGGATACCTGGCCTTGTGCCCCAGACCCACAGCCCTCGTGTGTGAGCTTATTTTTGGTTCCTGGGGAGGACTAAGTTCGGCCCCGACAGTAGCCGATACGAGCGAGAAGTGGAAAAACGGAAGAGTCAATGTGGATCCATTCCTTTAACGAGGTCCTCGGGAATTAACCTTAGTTCGGCACCTACCCAAAGTGGAAAGTCTCCGGCGCCCCAAATGGACATCCGGCATTTTACTTGACTTGCAACACGGTTTCCCCGGTTCGCATAAGAAGGGCCGGCCTTTAAAGGAGCTTGAATTTGGCGATTTACTTGAGCAATCGAAAAAATTGACTTCTGCTAGTCAACAACCTTTGAAGTCAGTTCCGGAGCTGAGCCTTCCGTCTTTGGTCTGGCCAACAGGTGGGATCCACAGTTGGTGAACTATTACAAGTAGTATCTGGAAGCTTACCGATTCTGGACCAATATGGGGGAGTAGCCAGGAAGGAAAGGTCCGTATGAAGTCGGGGAACTGCTATGTGCTCCCTTGGTCTGTGGAAGGAATGAGCCTTGTGTAGAACGACCACAGATGTCCAATTGCAGTTCTGAGGTGATGGTTGACCCAGCAGCTCGAGTCTCCCCCAAGGCCACCTGAGCGCAGAGTTCTTACCTTTATGCGAAATCTCGAGATCTTTACAACTACTGTTGGGTACTCTTCCACCTCCTTTTGATACCTTTAATGCTCATATTCGGACCCTCCTTCTACCCCATTACCTTTGCAACAACCGTCCATCTCTCTCTTCCCTCGTGTAGCCTTTCAATCCTGTTGCCCCGATGAACCGAGTTTCTGATGGGCACCGCATATATAGAGATAAAACGTACGTTCGGCTGCAATTCGATAGACTATTGACCTTGTATTGCCATCTCATACTATCCGGCAGGCCTATCGATCACGTATCCTAACAACTTGGCATATATACAAGTAGTGGTTCTCTTTCTCTGTTTATTCTTGGAACATTCCTTTTACAAGAAACATAAATCACGGCACCTGTGGCTGTCGTACACGAACAAGCAAGGTGATTGACTACAGAATGATTCATCTGTATAACTGGGGAAAGGGTCCGCCCACGATGTAGACGGCGACGAAAGACTTGCTAGGCAAATCTCCATTCATTACAGCAACACGTTCAGGTTGTTGTCCAGCCGGTCTTGTGAGCGGGAAATTATGTCACTCTACGTGTCAGAAGTACTCAAAAACTCTTGAGTGAGACCTTTAGAAACCGTGACATAGGCTTTTATACCCCAAGTAGCTATGCAAGCCGCTCAGCAGATCTCGACACCAGCTACCTGCATTCTTTCCATAGTGCAATAGTTTACAGTGGTTGGTCTCTCCCCATGTTTCATAATTTTTCTTCCATTTGAGAATCCATGCATATATCCATGAAAAGGACACTACCTGGATCCACCCCTACATCCAATAATAACATCCTCCCTGTGTGTGTGTGTGAGTGAAAGAGAGACTGCTACATCTGCTGGAATTCCGCCCACTGGGCAACAGCTACAATGTGGGGTAATTGGGGCGAACGGGCCCATGGCGCCGCAACGATCATATAAACGTCACAGCCCTCAAACCAGGGTGACAGCGAAGTAAGACATCGCGGCTTACTCCATGGAAGCCCACGGAAGCCAACCCATGACGCAAGAGATAGGGCTCTGCCAACACGTGATTGGACGCCACCCCGCAGATCGGCCTTCGCCTCAGGCCTCCCAGGCTCCATCGCTAATGCTTCGTGTTGCTTAGTCCATTGGAGGAGCGACCAACTCCAGTCAGGCAGTCAATCTTGAATTGGACTCTTCCATGGTCTGACTCGTGGTATATTGTCTTCGTCCGTGCCCGACCACGCGTGGCCCTCACACTTTGCTTTCTCTGCAGCTGGACGGAAACATTGCGACCCCCCACGGGGATCTGCGTTGGTGAAATGGCTCGTTTGATCGGGAGAAATCTCCATTAAAGAAGGCATTGGTAGATACGCCGAGACATTGTGACCGTGCGCCAATGCTATGAGTCGTGGTTGCATTATGACGACTGATAATTTTCCCATGATACATACAAATGCCCCGATCTGGTCTCGTTAGCTTCGGCGATGCTGAGGACAGCCTAACGCCATGTGTACGTGATTATTGCCTGACGCTAGAAAGTCTCAGCATCGACGGGATGTCAGCAGGGGAACAATCATTCCCACTGATGGCTTGCCAGACTATTGCCTAGTATAACCCATATGTCTATGGTGGATGGAGCCTTAGTTTCGTATTCTGACACCATTGAGTTCATGATTCGTAGACCAAATCTCCTGTGCACCCACTTTCCACCACCCAGTAGCGGCATGGGCTGCGCCTGCTGAGAGGATTCAAGAACGGCCCTCTGATCCAGCCTGATTGGCCGTGTGAAGACATTCACCGAGGCTGTTACCCTGTATGTCCTATAAAATTGGACACACATCCCCCGCATCTCACGGTGGGGGCATCTTGTTCTTGTGAGATCATAGATACTCGGTCAAGCTATGCTGGCTACCTGAAAGCCACGACTTGGCCTGAAGATTAGGATTACTGTGCTCTGATAGTCCAGTTACCTGTCAATCACCTGAAAACTTTTCTTACACCTGATAGATCTGCTATTCAGACGCCCCTTCTCCTATTCTGACTTCTAAGTCCCATAGAGCCTCTACAATGAAGGATAAATACGGGCCGGATGCCGGCCACCAGAAGAAGATAGATGGCATGGATGAAGTGTCTCCCACAGCCGAGCATTCAGAGAAGCCAAGGCGCTCGAGTATTTACGACATCGAGGGCCGACCTGCCAACAAACTCAGCACCGTCTTCAAGAACCCTCTGGAAGGCATCCCCCGCCAGCAGCTCCTCGAGGACGTGGATAGATTCTGTGTCCAGTATGGCCTGGAGGCTCACAAAGATCTTTTCCGTAAAGGAGCGCTGATTTCACAGAATCCTCAGGATGCCCACAATATCCCAGAGCTGGCCGAGGATGAGAGAGAGGCTATTCGGCGCGAGCACACTCATAAATGGTCGCAGCCTTGGCAGCTCTACTTCATGGCGTGTACGTACTGGAATCAGTCGCTGAGCGCGGCATGCCCTTGTATTATCGGACTGTCTGAACTATGCTAATTAGGTTCTAGCCATGTGCTCGTTGGCTGCCGCGGTTCAAGGTATGGACGAAACCGTCAACAATGGCGCACAAGCCATTTACCTCAAGGTGAGATAGACTCCATTGAACACGACTGCAATGCTGATCTGGTGCGAAGGAACTCAATATTACGGACGAATATATCACTGGCCTCGTCGTCGGCGCTCCCTATCTGGCCTGTGCAGTCATCGGCTGTTGGCTCACAGAGCCTATGAATAGGTACTTGGCACGGCGCGGTACAATTTGGGTGTCTTGCTTCATTGCTGCCGTCGCCTCAGTCTGGGAGGGTGTATGCAACTCCTGGGTCAACCTGTTTATCGCTCGCTTCGTTCTTGGTCTCGGCATCGGTTCGAAATCGTCTACGGTCCCCGTCTATGCCGCCGAGTGTGCGCCCGCTCCCATCCGAGGAGCGCTGGTCATGATGTGGCAGATGTGGACCGCCTTTGGTATCATGCTGGGAAACATCATGGGTGTTGCGTTCATGGGCTTGCCGGACAACCTCTCCTGGCGTCTGATGTTAGGCTCCACAGTGGTGTTGCCTTTGGTCGTTTGTGCACAGGTCTACCTCTGTCCTGAATCTCCTCGTTGGTTGATTGAGCACAATAAGATCGACAAGGCCTTCCAGGCTTTCCGCATCCTTCGCCCTACGGATATTCAAGCAGCACGCGACTTGTACTATGCATATGTCGGTGTTGAGCTCGAAAGAGAGGTGAACAAGGGAAAGAACTTCTTCACAATGTTCCTGGAGCTCTTCACCATCCCCCGTAATGCTCGTGCAACACTTGCCACCTGGATCGTCATGTTTATGCAACAGGTAAGTAGAAGACTGCAGGCTGATTCTCCCCACGAACGCTCGGGTGAGATATACCAGCGTGCTTCTGGACCCGGGTTTATTGGCCAAGAAGCTTTCTCACCTCCCGCATCCCGAGGGATAGCCCGAGAACTCATCATAGATGACTCTGCGCATAGAACTAGAGGCTAATCGAGACTTTATCTCCTTAGTTCTGCGGGGTCAACGTGATAGCTTATTTTTCGACTACCATTTTCACCCAATCAGGATATTCGATTCAGCAGGCGTTATTAGCGTCGATGGGAACAGGTATCCTGAACTGGGTCTTTGCGCTGCCGGCCTTCTTCACAATCGACACATGGGGCCGACGCAACCTCCTGCTCTTTACCTTCCCTTTCCTGGCCATCTTTCTTTTCTGGGCTGGTTTTTCGTTTTGGATCGAAGAAGGGGTTAGATACAGCAAGAAACGGGTGGCATGGTGACAACAGGCATGTACCTGTTCGAAGTATTCTACTCGCCCGGTGAAGGACCTGTGCCCTTTACATATTCCGCTGAAGCCTTCCCACTGCATGTGCGTGAAGTCGGCATGTCCTGGGCGACCGCCACCACATGGTGTTTTAACTTCATCCTGTCATTCACCTGGCCGGCCCTCCTGCGCGCCTTCCAGCCGCAAGGAGCTTTTGGCTGGTACGCTGCGTGGTGTTTGATTGGATGGGTTCTTGTCCTACTATTCGTGCCGGAGACGAAATGTAAGTGACCCTTAGTCACACCTGGGGCACTGGCCAACTACTAATATTTGATAGCTCTCACCCTAGAGGAATTGGATCAGGTGTTTTCAGTGCCGACTCGGAAGCATGCAATGTACCAACTCAAGAATGCGGCATGGCATTTCCGCGTCTGGGTTCTGCGGCAAAAGCTCGAGCCCTTGCCTAAACTTTACGAAGGAGCCGAGCATCTTGCAGAGGCGGAGGAAAAGTAGAGCCATGACCTGTGGAGATACTGTAGACTCCTGCATGTATGCTTCTTGGCTTGTGGCACCGCTTGCGGGCAGTGAGCTCGGAAAGCTGTAGGAGAAGTTAATCACACGGTGTTGTCTCTTGCTTTCCGTCTATCAATTCGTTCCTTTTTCTGACGGTGTAATACTTGGAGTGACAGTATATGGTGATGTTGGTCAGTTCCTTGAATCTAACGTGGTCAATAACTCATAAGATTCCATCAGTGAATAAAAGGAGAAGAAGGAGCTTAAATCTAAGGTCCTCTAGAGGGGCCCGTGGGTTAACCTGCTGAGCGTTTCGCTCATGATGCTCTTCATACAACAATACATTGTTATGGGATGAGGCGAGGAGTGAGCAATGGGTATGCACAATGTCTGAGGATCCGTTTGTCTTTGTCCTCGTTGGAGGCGATAGCCATTGACGAAGGATTGGTTGCCACGCCCATTCTCCGCGGCAACTGACTTCGGCTTACCCATCGACGTCCACGGCAGTGAGCGTCTTGAAGCCCCCTGTCAAGAGTAATGAAACCAAGATGGTGGCGAACAAGAGGACCGGTGAGGCACACAGCTATTTCTCACAATGCGGCTGCGCGAAGTGAGGTCACGCATTGATTGGCGGAAGAATGAATGCGACTCTATTCGTGGATGGGACATGTCTCGCAATGCACGATGGGAAAATCATGAGACATGCTGCAGGACCATGACGGTTCCGCAAGGGGGATATGCCGCCGGCTTGCAAAGACATGCACGAGGGAATCAGGGAAGATGAAAAGCCCTTATCGCCAATTCTGGATCGGCCACGGAGGGAATCTCGCGAACCTGTCTGGCCAGTAAGCCTTGCAGTACCTTTGCAAGTGCAGCTACATCTGTACGGCTACGTTCACACTTTGGATTATTTCGTGATCACTACCATCGCATCGGCATCACCTCCTTGCGAAGGGATTGAATATTGCCTTGGGTATCGTGCTGCCTATACGGGTGATGCGGCATGCCCTAACTACTACACTTGTACGACTCGTTCTGCCCCAGCAATCATTGAGACATTGTTCTCTCTGCCCCGATATGTCGCTTAACACGTCTTGGACACATGGGTAGGATTTTTCTTCGAAACGATATACTGACTAAACAAATTGGTGGCGTTTTCGGGGGTTCAGATGACCACTGCCCATACCGGGTTGAGGGGTATGTTGAATCCACCTGAAGTCATCAAGGAATTGGTTTTCTTTCTTTTTCTTTTTTCTTTTTTTCCAGCTCAGGAACCGTTCCATTGGGAGAAGATGTCGCCACTTTCTTTTTTCTTCGAACGGCCTAGTGTCGGAGCTTAGCTAGTTTATTATTTGTGGGATGCACGCTAGGATCCGAGACAATCAAGCAAGCCCCAGCCCAACTTGAAAACATGACCAACGCTCCTCCTTCTCCGATGGTCTACGACGGGGCAACGCGAGCACGCAATCTGCAGGTGTTTCGATCAAGTCAATGACAGGATGGTCTTGTCCAGATCCTGTCGGAACGGAGCGGATTGACGGGGATATGAGATCTGATTCTACGGGGAGACGGCATGCCGAAGGTCAGTCCAGGGGATTCTCACGCTGATCCTTCTGTCTGAATCCAGATTGCTTCTCGTTGTCGTGAGAGAGAACAAAAAAGGAAAAAAGAAAAAAAAGAATTAGGGTTGGGCGATGGCCGGATTGGGACAAGCGGGCGCTAGACTAAATTAGGCGCGTCGGTCACGGGCCGCGTTGGTCGGCGCGCAGCCAATCATCGACCAAGATTGCGGGCTTTCTCCACCGTAGTTTATATACAGAACGAAGTCTCGACAATCACGAATGCGCTTCCTCCGATAACGCCATTTGCCAAGCAGAGCCGGCGTGTGAGGCCAAAGCCTACCAGATGGACCCGCTGGATTTGCTTGCACGCAACTTGGCTACAGCCAAGCATTGTTCTCGTGCTGTTTCCATGTAAAAGTGGGAACGGGTCTGAATCAACGTTGCATTGAGCACCGCTTCCGCATCCGGTTGGGGTTGCGGTGGCTTCATGAAAACCCGATCACGTCATTTTGCCCGGTCGATGAGGGCGAAGAGGTTCTTTTTATCTATAACGGAAGTGGCTCGCTGGTGGGCACGATGGGTGTGTGTGCCGTACAGCGAGTCCTCGCCGCGAAAACCGTGGCCAGAACGCCCTCGACGTGTGCTGAAGGTTCATCGAATCCAGTGACAAAGGTCACCGTCATCCAGCATCGATGGTGCTATCTGCAGTCTCTCGAAAGTTCTCGAGGGCAACGGAAGACCCTTTGGATGCTCCCTCACCCGTCACGGACAAGGACAGCGACCGGATATCCAATGCCGAGAAGAAGTTGGCGTCGGTGGACGAGCGATCGTCCAGCGATGAGGAACACGTGAAGAAACTCAGCGAGACAGATGCGATAGAGCAGCAGACGGAAGAGGATCCAGAGATCGCAGCGCTACCCCGTGAGGTCCGACAGCTGGTCAGTCTCACCGATGATCCGACCTTACCCACGATTACCTTCCGATATTTCCTCCTGTCGATCATCTTCATCGTTCCCGGGGCTTTTCTGTCTCAGATGAGCCACTTTCGTACCACGCAGGCACCGTATTCGATCTTCTTCGTCCAGATTGCAACCCATTACGTCGGAAATTTCTTTGCACGGGTGTTTCCAGCCTGGGAGGTTCGTGTGCCATTCACGAAGTGGTCCTTCAACCTCAACCCAGCGCCATGGAGTGCCAAAGAACATGTGCTGGTTACGTTGACCGCGGCGTCGGGTGCCACGTATAACCTGGGCTATACTCCCATTGCACTGGCGGAGCTCTTCTACGGTGAAAGGCTCAATCCGGCCGTTGCCATCTTCTTCATGTTCGCCATTGTGTGGGTTGGGTACGCATTCGCAGCCATCGCGCGCCAGCTGCTCCTCTACGATCCCACATACGTCTGGCCACAGGCCCTCATGCAGACCACCCTCTTCGAGACCTTTCGAAAGCAAGATGTGTCATCGCCTCTTGCCCGGCGTCAGCTCAAAATCTTCTTCTTTTCCCTGGTGGGAATGACCTTATGGCAATTCCTCCCCGAATACGTGTTTCCATTCACGTCTTCCCTGGCATTCCTGTGCTGGGTCGCTCCCCACAACCCCGTAGCCAACTTTATTGGCTCAGGTCTCGGGGGAATGGGCTTTCTCAACTTAACGTTCGATTGGTCGAACATCAACTGGAATGGCTCGTCGATTCTACTGACACCCTGGTGGACACAGGTCATTTTGTTCCTGGCGTATGTCGTGAGCTGTTGGGTTCTCCTTCCAGCTGCCAAGTGGGGGAATCTGGGCTCATACAAGCACGGCCTGATGTCGAACTCGCTATTCATGGCCAATGGCACCAAGTATCCGGTCCTCGACGTTTTGACCCCCGACTTTCGTTTGAATCAAACCGCGTACGAAGAACACGGTCTCATGTACATGGGGCTTCACAATGCCTGGGCTACATTCTTCGACTATGCCAAGGTGACCGCGGCGGTTACCTGGATCGCTACATTCGGGTACTACCAGCTGAAATCGAATCTGAAGAAGGCCATTGCGTCCCGTCGGAAGTCGGAAAAGGCTAAAGGCCAAAACATCAACTATCAATATCATGATCGTCTCAACGTGCTGCAGAGGCAGTACAAGGAGGTGCCACTATGGTGGTACGTAGCCCTTTTCCTGGCTGGGTTTATCATCCTTCTTGTGGCCACCGCATGCGGATACCTTTGGATTCCCGTCTGGACGCTGTTCGTCGGTCTGGCCACGGCCGGGGTTTTCGTCCTCCCCTTTGGTTGGCTGTACGCAATCTCCAACTATCAGCTCGCGGTGGGAACATTCAACGAGATGCTGTACGGGTATATGGTTCACACGAAAGCAGGCGCGTCGCATCGCCACCCCTGTGGACCTTCTACCTACGGAGCGATCGCTGGCGACGCTTGGTATCGGGCCCAGTACATGCTTCAAGATCAGAAGATCGGACATTATATGCATATTCCCCCGCGAACGGTCTTTTTCTCTCAAATCTTTGGGACTGTCCTCGGGATTCCAGTGAATTACGGTGTGATTCGCTGGGTCTTGAACACGAAGGGCAACATCCTCAAGGGGGTCGAGAAGGATCCGCTGAACCAGTGGACCGGTCAATCCATCATAGGTTCCAATACTCTCGGAGTGCAATATGCTGTCATTGGACCTCGGAAGATGTTTGAGAACCCCGAACTGAGGGTTCTCCCGTACTCCTTCGTCGTGGGAGCCGTGATCCCCCCCATGCTGTACATCCTCCACCGCTGCTTCCCACGATTGCGAGTGGACTTGTGGAACGTCACTATCTTTTTCTCTGGTTTATCGGTCTTCTACGGTAATATCAGCACCGGATATACATCGGCCATCATCGGAGGATACGTGGTTATGTACTGGGCTTATCGACGTCGGTTCGAGACCTGGAAACGGTACAGCTACATGGTTGCCGCTGCCTTCGATGCCGGCTTCAATCTGAACATGTTGTTGATCTTCCTGTTCTTTGGCTCCGGGAAGCAAATCAAGATGCCCAACTGGTGGGGCAATAATGCGGACTCAGTCGAGCGGTGCTTCGCATTGTGAACCAGGCAACGCAGCGTTCCTCATACGAATTGTGTATAAAGCTACCTGTGTGTACATAGCTCTCATCTCTATAACGAACTACCAGTCTACTCCCTTAGCGTATCTGTTTTGAAACACTCATAGTTCTTGTTACATGTGCATAATCTGGTAAGACTCGGTCCTTTGTCGGTTCCATAAACCCGGCTGTTTGGATATGTAGTCATCTCAGCACGGGGACACAGGGGCTAACAGTTGGAAGACAGGCCTTTTCACTGAGTTTTACCTTACTGTACTCTTGCACACATGCTTGTGGGTTGTGAAGTTCTAATAACAAGGACTTGGGAATGGCTTCAACCTGACGAACGTGGTTCATTCTTTCAACCCCTTCGATGTCGCTACCGGTGGTACTACCTGTTGTATAGTCCGTCTAAAAGACCTCTTATCCTGTGACAGCGATACCGCAACTGCTCTACTCAAGCACCTCGTTGGGTAGGTACAGCGCCATCGAATCCTCCCAGATACTGTCGGTGAGGATAGTCTTATTCGAGCCGTCTGCATTCATGACGAATATCTGACCGTACGGCTGGAAGGTGTTGTCATAAATGGCGGCTTCATCCCGGAAGCCATACATGCCGCTTGCATACAGAATGCGGCCGTCCGCTGTCCATGTCGCATGGGCATCGTTGGCTCCGCTCGATGTGAGCACCTTCAGGTCCGACCCATCCGGACGTATAGTGCACACGTCAAAGTTGGTGTAGCTCGTCCGACGTGTGAAGACGATTTGCTGCCCATCAGGCGAGTAGAATGGAAGGTTGTCCCGGGTGGTAGTCAAAACGCGAACACTCTTATCGGTCACATCCATGATACGAAGCCCAAACTCCGCACCCCATACGCGGTAGACCAAGTACCGCCCATCCAACGAGTAGCTAGGGAATCCCGCATTGATTGTACCGTTGGTGAGGATCTCATAATATGATCCGTCTGCTTTGGCTCTCGCAATGTATCCCTTCCCCGTCGCGCGGGATTGGAACCAAGCCCCAATACCAAAGGCAATCCACTCCCCATCGGGGGACCAGGTGGGCTGGAATGCGCCGGCGAGGCCCTGGCCGACCTCGCTGGAGCTGATGTTGCTTTGGGTCAGTGGGTCAAAGACGAGCTTTTGATCCATTCCGTCGGGTCTCATGGTGACGATGCTGGAGTTACCGAGTTGCTTCTGTGTGATCGCCAGTCGACCCTGTTGTGATAGATCCGGGAACACGTCGGTAAAGCGGTATTCCCACTCGGGATCCCAGCTGTAGAGTTTCTTCTCCATTGCACGCGCCTCGAACTCCGACTTCTCATAGACAACGGACTTGCCGTCCGGCGACCAGGACGGCGAGCGCATTGTCCCATTGATCACAGCTCGAGTTGAGCTCTCCGCCGTGTAGTGGATGCCTTCGTTCGATCCGCCCTTCACCAGGTACCCAATATTGTCTGCGGTTACGTATTGCGGAGAGACCTTCACCCCCGTTCCACTCGTATGCTGGATCCGATCCAGTCCCGTAGCAAAGTCGACGGACACAATCTGCGAAGTGGCACTGGCGACCGACTCGGGCCGATGTGCGTCCCATGTGTTTTCCGTCGTAATCTCGTAGAAGATGATCCGCGAGCCGTCTGGCGACCACCTGGGAGACCCTAGACTCCAGCCCTCCTTGGATGCGATCTTCCGAAAGTCCCTTCCGTCTGGCCGGATGACATACACCGACAGCTCCTGTGTGTGCTCCCAGCCTGTGCCATTCCCGTGCCCACGCCATTCCGTGTTGCGATCCGAGGAGAACGCGAGCCATTCGCCATCGGGTGACCAGCTGGGGCGGAAGAAGCCATTGGGTTTCGTCGGGTCACCCTTGACTCCCTCCAGGTTGGTGAGGTTACGTTGTTCGCCCGTCGTAAGATCCATCACCCAGACATTGGTCGTGTATCCGTTCGCTGTGGAGACCCATGCCACCTTGCTGGCATCGGGCGACAGCACACCTGCATCCTCGACGGAGGAGGTTGCCACCAGCTTCTCCAGCCCGGAGCCGTCCGCGCGACAGCGGTAGAGGTCCGAATTCCCGTCGCCATTGCGCTCCGAGGTGAAGGTAATCCATTGTCCATCGGGTGAGAAAGAGGCATGGTAGTCGAATCTGGAGTTGTTTCCCAGCAGTTTCCGCTCGTTGCTGCCGTCGATATTGGCCACGTACAGCTCCGACAACGACGGACCAATCCGGTTCATAAGCATCACTCCCTTTTTGCCGGGAGCTGGTAGTCCCCGAGCCGAATGGGTACGGGGCATCATCTCGAGGTTTTGCTCCATTGCAAAGTGCATCGCTTTGTGGGCCGTCGCCAAGCTTGAGCCCACCGCGAGGGCCCATGCCGTAGAGGTAAGCCAGCGCATGTCTGTGTGCTCGAATGTTCCTTGACGAGGGAACAGTGCTTAAGCGAGGAAGATGGGGATATGGTATTTATGCGAATTGACGGCATTCTGCCAAGCGGAAAGCCTGCGCTTGTGGATTCAGTGACCAACCAGCTAGTGGGCAACTGCACAGTGCATAATCAAGCGTTATGAAACGGTGGCACATCGGCTGAGGCTTGCTTTGCATGTGTGCCATGATAGGCAACATGTTCGTCGATCTGCGAAGCAGACTGCCTGTGTCCAGACGTCGCCAAGACTGCAGAAAATTAATCGATATTAGGATGGGCGTCCATGTTCCCCAGCTTGCGCAGCTTAGCGGTCTCATCCACAGGCTACTTCACTCGAAGCGACAAGGATCTGCATGGTCGTTTATAGATTTCTTCTCCTGGTGGTGATTATCGGATAAGATTATGTTTTCAATCTCCGAGTCTATGCTCTATATGATTATCTCGGCCGAGCTTTGCTGAGGGTCTGCGTATTATCTCCGAGACAGACGAGTGGAATCGGTGGAGGCTTCAAGACTCCAGAGACCGGATGGTCCAATCTGATAAGAAGAAGGACCTGTCGAGCTCTTGGCACACAGAGGGAATTGATTGATAATTAATGTCTGGCGGCGAATTCCCGACTGATGCGAGGATGAGAGGCCACTGGGCTTGGGCCATTTCTACCGAAATGATCCCAGTGGGACCGGCTCATCAGATAGACGGCAGTATTGTCGGTTCAAGCCGCCAGATGGCCCTTTCGTTAGTGGAAATTCTGATGAGAAGTTAGCAATGGCTCGTAGAGGGAGAAGTACGCCGTGAAACCATGTGTGGTCTCTACTTCGGTTGTCAGAGTGGCTCTGAAGAGTCCTGACTCAACGCAGGATGGACAACTTGCTCTCTTCGGCCAGCTACGAACTGTATGGTACGGATTGTGTAGGAGTGTTAAAGTATATTTCGTACATTACCCCCGGCAGCTGCATAAACCTTGACATATACATTAGTGGCGTGTTCTTCCGAGAGGCACATATTGACATCCTGAACGCTCTCAGGCTAATCCTTCCGACAGATCCACCTCAATCGCCAATTCTCAGCAAGAATCAAGCCATATTGGCCTTCCCCTTCCTCCCCATCATGATTCCGCCCTCACTGACACTGCTCGTATCCAAGACAGTCATCTCCAAACGCTTCTCGTACGCCTGCTTGCTCTTCTCCGCCGACGTCCGCAACATAAACCACCTCAAGTGTGGCAGCGGTCGCAATACCTCATCCACGCAATCGATTAGCCAGCCCCCAAGACCGTGACCCTGATAATCTTGGAGGATATACAAGTCAGTCAGATATGCGAATGTAACATTGTCCGTGATAAGCCGCGCGAATCCGATCTGTTCTACATTCTGTTGTGCGTCGGTTGGACCATCAGTTGAGATGCCGTTGCATTCCCCATTCTGGCCAGTAGTCTTCGGCGTGGTTTTGTACACTCCGAAGCAAAAGGAACTCTCAATGATCTGCTTTAGGATATCTTCGGGGTAGCTTTTCGTCCAGTACATGAAATCCTTGTCGAACGCGGCGTTGATGGCTGACACCGAGAGGAGGTTTTTATCCGTTGACACAAGAAACGAATCTTTGGTCCAGGCCTGAGGTTCGATGGGTAACGTCATGGCTTAAGGACCGCTGACGAGATGGTGATTGCCCGTGAGCTCAGTTCAATTCTGATGTGTGTTTCCGTGGTTTGGAGTCCGCCGTCTTGGTATACACTGGGCGCTCGATTGCTCGGCAAGATTATTTTTTGCACTGACAAAGATGTACAAAAGAAATATGAGGATGTGCTGGACCGTGGGATGTGTGAGGAAGACTCTTATTATATCTTTGTCTTTGTAAGCTCAAGTACGAGATGAGTCACAGTAAATCTTGGCAGTCGATTGCGAATCTGCGAACGTCGAAGAATGGTTGATAGGCATCAGTAGATATCATACGAAGATAACCCTGTTAGATTTCTTAGAATTGGACGCCATGGCGTATCTTGGGGTTGTGTACAAGCTTCTGACAGGATTTTCGGGCGCGATGTTTATTCACTGCTACGGAAGGGAGAATCATAGCTATCTTACAGAAGCGGACCTATTGAGGAATCTTCGCGACTAGTAGAATTGGAAAAGATAGAAACACCCTCTCAATCAGTAGAATAGCTCGATGCTACAGAGTTTTAGCGTCGAGGACAGAAAACAGATCGTCCCGGTTGGTGACAATATCAGAGTCTCCGAGGTCGATGAAGCTTTGCCACATCCCATCCAAATCACTCATCCTTTCGAGATTAGTGGCGAGACCTGGATATGGTAATTGTGGAGGATATCGATGGGTGACTTCAAAAACCGACCAGCGACAGAAGATGTTTCATCGGCCTACTTCAGCACACCTTCGTTGTCTTCATGTTTATCAATACACAATCCGTAACGAGGACAGTGGTGGCCAAGAAGAAGGTCCAGAGAAATGTAGCCAACCGCACGTCCATAGTTTCTAATCGTACACCAGTCACCAGAGAAATGCTACAGAGAGCTATCAATCACACGATTGAGGCCCCACGACTGCCAACGCCTTCCAGCCGCCTGGTATCACCCTCGCCATCGGAGATATATGAGGGACGAGCCACGGCCGCGACACTTGTTGCAGGATTGCTCCTCCTTTCATCAAGCCCATGAGATCGGAGAACGATGTCTTCGAGTCTCTGTAAGCGGGTTAAGATATCATCATGGATGTGATCGGAGAGAGCTGGTTGGATTGACGGAGGCACGGCATGTACTCTTTCGCACGGAACTCCACGCGTCGAGCAAATTGAGCATGGCTGCCCCCGGTTGCACTTCAGCTTCATAGTGTGACAAAGCCAGCAGGAGATAGGAAGCTGCCGCCGTCACCGTTGCTGCATTCGACCTTATGAGTCTTTAACAATCCGGACAGTCGTATGCGTTCTTGACCACTTGCCGGACCTTGTACTGGAATGAGACTTTCTTGAGGAAGGGATGTTATACGACTCGATGAAATTGACAGCGCAATCCAGAGCAATACCTCTGCAGATTCTACGAAGTGGCTCGAGAGTAAGCTGACAATAATGTCCTTGGTTCAATACTCTGTATACATCATCGTGTGCAAGGGCCATAGAGAACCATACTTTCAACCAGGAAATCTCGCCACAGAGGAACAATATAAAAACAACATCGATGTCCGGGCCCTTCGAGGTAGTGGAACGGGATGTTTTTCTCATTCAGCATGTACTTTCTGGCTCCAGACGATACGCACGCCAGAGACCCTCACAGTATGATTCAACGCCACCTTATTCGCAGGTCCAACACGCATTAAGGACAGCCGTTGACTACTATCGTCCAACTCCGACGCTGGTGGAGACATGTTGATCAACGGCGGCGAGTGGCGGATGGGTTTCCGAATCGGGAACATTCCGACATTGCGTCACAGTCATTGGAATGCAGGTTTTTGTCAACATTCAATCGTGAATTTCTCAAGGAGTTCATTCTTCTTTCCCTCTCAGGTACATTTCCATTCGGGACAAATCACCCTCAAACTCTTGCTGCACAATGTTCAGTTGGTAAGCCATTTCCCCCCTCGGTACGCTACCTGGTCCTGATGCAATGCACGCAGGTATCAACGAAGCTTAATTCAGCGCCCCGTCTTGACCCAAAGTTTAACCACAGCGGTATGTAATGCTGCTACAGTCTCCCAACCTAGTTTACGGTGGCTAACGAGCATCCGAAGTGTCTCTTCGCCGTGGGAGACGGTCTCGCGCAGCAAGGGGTGGAGAAGAAAGGCATTGCTCAACATGATGTAACCCGTACTGCCCGCATGGCACTCTACGGTGGAGGTGAGCCGCACTTGTGCTTGTGTTGAAAGTCGTATGGCTGAGTTTGTTGCAGCTGTGTTCGGTCCGGTTGCCACCAAATGGTTTCAATTTCTGCAAAACCGCATCCATCTGGGCACCCCGGGAAAAACCCTCGCTGCTCGCGTCGCCACGGACCAGCTAGTTTGTGCTCCGACCATGATTGGCGTTTTCCTCTCCAGCATGTCCCTCATGGAAGGAGGTGATCCGAAGGAGAAGCTGAAGAAGACATATTGGGAGGCCCTCCGGACCAACTGGATGATCTGGCCCGCCTTGCAGACCGTGAATCTGTATCTTGTACCGCTGCAGTACCGAGTTCTGACGGTCAATATATTCAACATTGGTATGTCATGTCCATTTCTTGGGATGAGTGCATGCTAACCCCGTCAGGGTGGAATTGCTTCTTGAGCTTCTTGAACAATGCCGAGAAGGGCCATCTTCAAGAGCTACCCGTTGTCTGATTGCTCCTGAACCAAGGACCTTGAACGGGTCAATCAAGCACGATGCGCACAATACTGGGGCGAAAAAAGGGTCGATCATTTTTCTTCACTTTGGTTGTTCGCCTCGACGTTGGAGAATAGCGGTAGGTTTCCCTTTTGGGACAAACCCCGTTTAACGTCGGAACACCCAATTCGGTATTCCCGGCCCCCAGCATCGAAACAGGACCGAAGCGGTAACATAACATATGCGGTCCACTAGCATCAACGATCAATAGAATCAAGTTTTGAAGCGAGATCTAGTTGTACGATTATATAGACTCTACATGAAATCCCGTTTTAGTTTAACGCTGCACGGCATATCCTATCCTGTATTATCCATCTCGACCGATTCGGTCGGAATCACGATGTATCTTGCTACTTCGATGTCTTCCAGTTGGATAGCTTTGAGTATTATTCTCTGTGTCAGACGTAAAGGGGAGATATAACACGCTTTTGCCTAATGCATATGTACATCTATCCCATCGCATTTACCCGGACCACCGGTCCCTTGTAAACCTTTCGGGCATAGATCAAGTAGTACACCAGAGAGAAGATGATAACGCTAACGAAGATGACAACACCCCAGTTCATGGTAGTGGCCTCTACCTCTCGGGTCAAGGGGAAGAAACTGAAGGTCCAGACGATCGACAGAACCAACAGAGAAACAGTGTCGACGTAAGGGCTGAGCCGCCCCATATTCCATCGAGCAGGGGGAAGAGGCTGTTTGCGCCAGCGACGAATCCGAACGCATGAGATGGAGATGATATATGAAGACAAAAGAGCGGCGACGCCAAGCGACATAATAGCGTTGAAGGCAACTGAAGAGCCAATGTTGATGCAGGCGAGTCCAGAGACGATGACTAGACTCACGCATAACGCATTCAATGGGACTGTAAATGTGGGATTAACCTGAGGATCTGTTAGTGTTGTACTAAAACATGCTATGGGTTTAGTCCTACCGTAGCAAAGAAATCGGAGAACGGAAGTCCTTTGTCTCGTGCAAAGGCGTAGACCTGTCGGGACGTGGTGGCTACATTACTGATAGCAGCGCAAAATTGCATGGCCATAATCACAACAGTCATGCCGGTGGCGGCCTTGACGGACCCAGTGGAGTTGAGAAAGACTTGGATGAATGCAAAGCCAGTTTGGGACGCCATGACCTCATCAATGTCGCCAATGCAGAAGGCAAATGTGATGATCATAACTAAGCCAGTGGAACCGTTGAGAATCAAGGTCCAGATCATACCCAAGGGAAGGACTCGGGAAGCGTCACGAATTTCCTCTGCTGCTCTGGGTCAGTATGACTTCAAGCTCATGTTCCTATGTCGGACGCAGGTTCAAAGCAAGACATACACATATGGACAGCCGAGTCAGGGCCTTCAAAGGACATGTGGCGTTAGCATGGGTCTTGAAGGTGAACCGGCTTTGACAAGCACATACCGATCAGGGCATAAATGGGCCCAACCAATCCAACTAAACAGGATAGTCCATTGGAGCCCCATCCTCCGCGATCTTCGATTGAACCGAATACCTCTGAAGCTGCTGGCCTTGGTGATAGGACCCACAAGGGGATAAGAATCCCAAAGAAACCAAAACAATGGATAACCAGAATGATTCCTTCAATCAGCGGCAGCTTCTGCGCGAGAAGGGTGTTAAACAACAATGCTACAAACGCCACTGCAATAACCAGAAGCGTGACATGCCAGGGTTGGTAGGTGTACGAGTCTGGATAGTTGATCGCGATGACGCCCACCATCATGTTCGCCACAGTATATGAACATCCCGCAATCCCGGTATGCCATCCCAGGACACAGATCCAGCCGGTGATATAGCTCAGGATGCACTGGCAACTCGGGGGAGCAAATTCCGACACCCAGTGATACTGCCCGCCAGATGTCGGTGCCCTGGTGCCAGTCAGTCATGGGATAAGACCAAGGAATTTGGGAGTACGGACATAGACGCCATCTCTGCCATGGACAGAATCACAAAGCTAAATCCAACCAGCCCTCCCAGATATGTGTAGATCATGCCTCCTTTACCACCATTAGTAAGGCCATACGACGAACCACTGCCCATCTGTTAGTCAATTCAGTGCGACAGAATGATAATGCGTCGGGGCAGCACCTACAATAGAACAGCCTCCCAGGTGCACATTAAAACCGCCGTAAACCCAAGCACTGATAGAAAGCGGAAGTTCCGCTACGGTAAGTCAGTCCAGAAACGATACTGTGATGTCTTTTGTCTCCCCTTTACTGACATTCAACTCCTGATCTCTGCCCACTCGCCACATATCTTTGCGATCTTGCATCGTTCCACCTTTTGCGGACACGCCACCTTCGTGGCTTGACATGTACCCCACTGACTTGACTGCTTCATCCTTCCACATGATGAATTTACTCCACGCTTGTTGTCTCACAATGAGAGGCGGACTCGAGGCTGAGAGTACTGGCAGCGAGGGAGCGGAGTGAAAAGTCTGAGAGAGAAAGAAAAAGAAAAAAAAAAAAAAAGGCTCAACTGGAAGTTGGAGGGGAATAAGTGCAGGGTAAATCAATCAGTTTCAACATGGGTATTCAGTCTCGACAGGGGTTTGGGACGCTAGAGCAATATCTCCTACGCCAGCCGAGTGCTACTCTCCGGGATATAGATTGCACCGTGGATGCTAACCTTTCCCAAAATACGCCTCCGCTTAGTTTGGTATGCTGGTTTGGGCCCCTCTGAGAGTCAAGGATTAACATGAAGTAGTATTTCCTCGACCATGAACGAATTAAGAGGCTGCTTATTTGTGCATTGGGTGGTCGCCGCGCTTTTTATCCCTGCAAAACGGTGGATCAGCGAGCGATTTCTCCCGACGATCTTTATTTAGTTCAGTTCAAATTCTTCTTTTATTACTTATTTTTATTCCGAGGGACTCGAATCCCTGGACTTTCGACTACTTCCAAAGCTGTCAGAATTTTACTACGAGTCCGGTCTTCCCTTAACAGTAGTGAAAAATGTGCACCTCACCCGTCTCTGATCGTATAGGCTTCACCACCGCGTAAAAAGTCCGTCGCCATGGGGGAATACGCCCCGTACGTGATATCGGCCACCGATCGAAGCGGCCTGCTCGTCATTGTTGCGACTCTTTTCATGTCGTGGATGGTCATCGTCTGTTTAATCCGTCTCTATATGCGTCTAGAAATGAACGGACCTATTCGAATTGATGACCTGGTGGTCTTCTCAGGCGGCGTAAGTAGGTCCCTGCTTCTGCAGAAACTGTGGGCTAAGTTTTACGATGTGTCTACATGGCAGGCTTTCGGAATAGCCCATGTGGGAACGATCATGCATGGAGTATCCCACGGGCTGGGCAGATCCCAAAATGAAACCTCTGCATCCGACCTGAAGAGTGCCGCACAAGTAAACGCGACCTGCAATCCATCGACGAAGTCGAACACTGCTGATAGCATTATCAATCCTTTAGACTCTGTATGCTGCCAATATTTTATTCCTTGTCGGCCACGGTGCTGCGAAAGCCTCCGTTGGATTCCTCCTGCACCGGCTAGGCCGGGAGAAGGGGTATCTGCTGGCGTGCAAAGCCACTTTAGTTGTGACGGTGCTGTGGATGATCGCCTCAATACTAGCCATTGCACTCAGTTGCACGGCTCAATACCAGTGGTCCAGTGAGGAACATTGTCTCGGCTTGGTACGTGGAACCTCGGCATATTTGCAGACGAAACTGGGACCAACTTACGGGAACAGGGCATTGCTTGGAAAGCAGTCAGTACGTTCGATGTCATTATTGAGATATGCCTGATTGTCCTCAGTGTGGTGTTGGTTTGGGGAATCCAAATGCGTCGTAAAGAGAAGGCGACGGTCATTTTTGCATTTGCGACTCGGATCTCGTATGTTGCTTCTCCCTTCTGGCCAAGTACTGAATTAACCGTATTGTATCTCCCTGGCAGAATAATCGTTCTGATCATTATCCGGCAAAGATACCTGAACACCTCGCTATTCCGCCCCGACGCTCCATTGCATGTTTCGAACTCTTTGGTCATGACAATAGTGTTGCTGCATTGTAGCATCATGGTGGCGACGATCCCATGCCTCAAACCGTTCATTATTGCATTCAATACCGGCTGGGGACAAGGCGTAGCGGATAGCAAAGGGACCACATACTACAAACAATCGGCTACGAGCGCTTCAGGGAATGCGTCACGAAGCCGTGGACCACATAGCTTTGGGGCAGAGGAGGAAGAGCTCGATTTGACGGTCGTCCGACAATCTCATGAAAGCCAGCATTCGCGGCAGCTGATCATTCATCAGACCCGAGAATGGATCGTGGAAGAGACGTATGAAATGAAGCCGATGCGGTAACCATCTGCGATATGAGCTCAGAGACCCTTTGCATAGCTACAAATAACCTACCCTACCCGAAACTGGAAAATGTACACGTTACTCTGGAGGAGTCGAGAATCTTGCCCGAGTCTCAGAAAGCTGCTAGGGTCTGGTGGGCTAAAACAATCGGCGCTGTTAGTGCCGCAACTATTACGTGGCACTACAACCCTCAAGGATTTTAACCCGGTCGATCCCTGGTCTAGCGCCACACAGAGCTAGCACTGGTCAGGCAGGTGGCATTCGACGATACTTGTGTGTAAAGTCATTGGCCGTTGCGTTTGGATATAATTCATTCGGTTGGCGGATTGGACCATCGTGACTGGTCGCGCAAACCCACAGCACCGTATGATATATGGAGCCCATATACGGAGTACACAGTAGAAGGCTTCCACTCTGGCTCCACCGATGGCATACTATCCCTGATGTACAGCCGCTACTACGTGGGTCTGTCTGACCCTGACAAGCACTTCATCGTCGTTTCTGGCTGTCACACCTGTAACATGCGGCAAAGATCAACTTAAGATCAGTGATGTTTTGGATCTCTCCATAGATTGCGTTGGCAATACCGCACGTCCTGTTGAGCCATGTCATGGTAAACTTCCCACATTTACGATACCCTCGTGGGTTTCTTGTAGAGGCTCCTCGTCGGCATATCCAGGGTTACATTGGCTAGTAGTCCGAGGTTGGCAAACACGTACCTTAGCCCACGACCCACCATTTAATGCTGCTCTTGTCTGGGAACAGAATTCCGCGATCAACGATCCTTGAAGATAAAAGTACTAAACATCCTATTCGGCCCGTTCCGTTCCATGGAAAGAACAGTCTCTTTGCTGCCTTTCACTCTTCCATGCATATCTCGCAACAGAGCTTCTTCACTTTACACTACTGGCGAAGGCTAGTGGTTTCTAGCACGTATGGGATGCATCTTTGTGTTGGCTCTTGAAGTCGTGTGCAACTGAGACTGAATTATATGAACAATACCACGCTGGAGATAATACAATCTTGATACCAGGTATGCTGGAGAGAAAAGCCACGTCTGCACCGAAGACAGCGAGTCAAGTATTATTTAATCTCCATGACGTTCTCCAAGTGGTAACCCAAAGATGATTTGATCGGCACAGAGTCACTACATACTACCGCCAACCGTTAATTCTCCCAAGGAATCAACAGCGGGTCGGTAAGCTCAAATATCTCCATTTGATTGATCTCGTCGATGGACAGTGGTGCCCAGAGGGAGGAAGAGTAGTCTGGAAATAGTGTTGGTTGCGCAGGTCCGGCTAATGAATGAATGTCGGTGACTATTGGTCTCGCTTGAGGAATCGGACTTTCCATTGAGTGCTGGCTGAACGGTGGCCAGGACCACGAGCCACCCTGACTGTCCAGTGTTCGCGTACAAAGATAGTGAAGATAGGACGATGCCTGTCGAAGGGATTCTATAGTGTCTGTCGTAGAGGGAGACCTTGGTCTTCCGGAACCCACTCTTTGGTCCAAGTGCGCAGCTGATTTAGATAGAAGAGTGATAGCGATATGAATGAACTGGGGGAGGGTATCTGGTTCTGATGAAATACCGGGCCGCTGGGTTGGGGTTTGAACCCACCGGTCATAGAGAAGCATCAGCCCGCTCTGGAGAACAAGGTGATGACCTGACGGCCATATGTGAGGTGTGAACGACACCTCTGAGGCTAACTCAAATGCTAGAATGAGGTGCGTGGTTGCTTCCTTGCAAGACCGCAGGCTATCCGCAAATTGTGGTTCTTGTTGTCCAAAAGTCAATGCAGGGCGATGGATGAGCATGGTGGCTAGCTCTCCTAAGATGAACAACCATAGAGATATAATATCGGGGTGTTCGACAGGGTTGTAGGCAGTGTTGTTATTGTTTCTGTTATGTAGTCTCGTCTGGATAAGTTCCCCAGTCCGTGCGACGTTGGGTAAACTTGATTGAACATTTTGTTTCCAAAGATCAAGTTCACGTTGAAGTCGAAAGATCTTGGCAACTCCACCTCTTCGGTTGGTGGTCGTATACATTTGTTCTAGACACCTGGATAGGATTTGTGCGAGATGAACATACTGGAGGAATGGCTCGATATGGGTAGTTTCTCCAGGTAACGGGTACGACAGCTGATCGCTATGCATGTCATCATAGTCGGTATTGGTAGGGAGGTCGGTGTCTGTGTCTGCTGCTTGTATGTTTCTGGGTAGACCATATAGGATGCTTGATTGTCTAGAATGTATCAATATGAATATCTTGTAATCTCGCCATCAAAAACTGGAAGGGCCTTTCTTACACGTCAAGCACATATACAGACCACCATATCCGTCTTCGCAACTCACTTTCACCGGGTGAGTGTTTGAATCGTCTAGTATGTCGATGCAGTCCGAGCGATTGCGCTAGTCTTACGACCATACCACAGACACGTACTGCTAACGAGTGCTGCGATGTCATCTGGAGATAGAGAAGGTAAAGGATTAAGCCTTGGAGACTAGGAATATCTCCTCGGCAAGGCATCTGGCCAAGTAGGTGGCTCAGTATGGTGTCCAGGTGATAAGACAAGGGCCTTGATTCAGTCGCGGCAGTACTACTATGGATGCTCTGAAGTGCTATCAAGGCATACACCTGGAGGAGAAATGGTACCCTGAGATGCGGTTCCATCGATGTGGTCCACGCATCTTTGATTGTGTCGTCAAAAGTGTCAAGGAACTGTTTTGACAACAACACAGGATATAGGATTCCCCAACATTGTTGGTACTTGTCAAATGCCTCGCGAACAGCAACAACACCCACGTTACGGAGATGATTAAGTAGAGACTCAAAGATGTTGCCCGAAGTGAGGTGGCCGTCCCCCAAACAACTTTCCACGCTTATAGGTTGTTCCAAAGCGACGGGCAATCCGTTAGGCCGTAGGATGTGCAGGCGAAACAAACATTCGGGAAAATGCTCTTGGGAAGAGAAAGTAGTCTGATACAGCTGCTGGGCCGAGAGAACAAAATGAACCCCTGTCGTAGAACCCGCAAAGAACTCGGAGTTGCCGTCGCCCAAGACCAGTCGTCCAAGGTGTGCCACCACAGAGCCATTAGCGGCCCTCTCTCCTCCATGCTGCGTGTAGCCACCCGGGCGAGATGCGGTAACCAGCTCCTTCAACTGTTCGATCTCTTTCTTCTGCGACACAATAGTCTCACGGAGTTCCTCTTCTCGTGCTGAGAGAAGTTGCAGCTGGTCTCGAGCTGATTCCAGCTCTTGCGTGAGTTGTTGGATGAGTTCTTCGGTGGGTTCAATGTACCTATCACCGGGTTAGCAGGAATGTAGAAGAATAACAACTAGGGTGTATACCCTCGTGGAGTGGTTCTCCGTTTCAGTTGGACAGACACTGAGCATTCAGCACCTGCCCTCTCACATTTCCCACACTTGAACGAATGAACAAGTGAGCCGTGGTAGACGGAAACGGAGGCAACAAGAAACAGACCTTCGGCCGGCGTCCATCGCACTTGACTCTTTTCCTGCAAGTCTGGTCAGATCTCCCATGATATCATTGGATTTTTCTATCGTGTGCTTACACGCGGCACCGATCGCTATTGTGAAGCAAGGTTAGTGTGGATGTAGACAGAGGGATTCATCATTCCACCCACTTGGGATGCTTGTGCATGCAGAGGAACCCCACTTACCAAACCTGGGCTGGCCGTCTTTCGGCCATTCTTTGCAGCAGACGTGACAAGGATGTGACAATATGACTGTGATCGTCAAGTCACCGACATTGGTCGAGGGGGGTTGAGGAAGGTGGTGATTGCATGGAATAAGGGCAGCGGGATAAGCGGCTATTCCGGCATGGAGTTTTTGATGGGGAATCCAGGCATCCATATCGCCGCGCCTAAGGCAGCACTACGGGCCTAGCTAAGGCTGGAAATGATCGGCACGTTCGCCTATACAGATGGTTTGCATTTGCATCTCTCTCTGCGATTCTACCAAATGATGATCGCCGTGTCTTCTTTTACCACACCAACTTCCGTACCCTCTAATACATGCCCGTTAACCTGCTACACTTTCTCCTCGTGTCGGATCTCCTCCTTCTCTTGTGCCCAGTCTTGCTCGAGTGCCAATTGAGGATTTTCCCTCGCATACCGGACAGTTGCAAAGACCGACGGGCTGTTCCGGAAAATCAAGTCAATTTCTTCGAGCGATCGACCATTGTCTGCTTTGGCGTCAGTAGTGCACTCCAGCGAGAGCGGAAAAGAATTTATTCACCTCGGGATAAAAGAAGTAGACGGAGATAGGGATGCAGAACCCAATACAGGTAAACACAATGTAGTACTGATACCCGATAGTGTTGATCGCTACCGGGGTAATCATCGTGACAGCGAAGTTCCTGAGAGTATGATTAGCATCGGCAACACAATAAATCAGAAAGATACGCACCACAGCCAATGGTTAGCAGTGGAAATACTCGACATGGCTACTCTCAGCTTCGTTGGCGCCACCTCGGTACAGTACAGGAAATTGGCGCCCAAGAAGCCGATTGGAATGAAGAAATTGAAGAGAAACACGAAGAAAACACTAGCCACCTGGGCACCAAAGTTCGAATGTGGAAAGGAAGTCGCAAGGGCGAGTCCCATCATACAAGTCGCCATTCCCGTGCCACTCACCATGAGCACAAAACGTCGCCCAAATCGATCGATGGCAAAGAAACCCACAAAGCAGGAGAGGAGTTTCCACGTCAAAGTCCCTCCGGATAAGATTCGAGATGTCTCGGAATCCATGTGAAGACCCTCCTGGAAGATGACAGTTGAATAGACGGAAATCAAGTTCCCCCCAGACATTTGTTGGTAGAACTGCAACAAGATACACAAGCAAAACCGGTAGAGAAGGCGATCCTCTCCCATCTTCAGCATATCGCCAAGCGACGCCGCAGTGCGGCCGGACTGTTCCAACGAGCGTTCGATTGCGGATAATTCATCAATGATTCTCGTGTCATCTTCTGATAGCCCCTTGAGCGCAGCAAGGGTGTTTCGTGCTTCCTGAATGCGACCTTGTTGAGACAGCCACCGTGGGGACTCTGGCATTACTAAAATAACAAGACTCAAAAGAAGCGAAAACAGGATTGGGATGGCGATCGGTGGCCGCCAAGATGCTGAACCCGTTTTGATTTGGTAAAATCCTAAGTTGATCCAAGCCTGCAGCACATATCCAATGGAGATGAAAAGCCCATCCAGAACGACGTGCTTTCCGCGGTTCGTGGAGCTAGAGCATTCACTCTGCCAGGTAGGGACTGTACCGCTCAACATCCCCACCCCAGCACCTAGGATCACTCGACCGATGATGAGCTGAGCGAGTTGGAACGAAGATGCTTCGAGGACCTCCCCAACCATGGTGAGGATGGCCCCTGCGAATATCACGATACGACGTCCAAACCTGTCGCTGGTATATGAACAAGAAAGGCACCCAATCATCGCCCCCAATGTAAAGGTGGCCACCACAACGCCCTGTATGGTGGCATTTGAACTCTTCTGTTCTCCTTCAGTGTGAACAGTATCGATCCGAGGGAAGTGATTCGTGAAATCCGTCACCGAAACCAATCCACCAAGGTTGGATTGATTGTATCCGAATAGAATGAAAGCAGGACAAACAACCAGAAGAAGTTGTGCTAAGGTAAGAGCGCTTCCACGAAGGCCCATGAATGATGGTGATCCCATGTTTCAAGCAAGTATTGGACAGAGCCGAATAAGGTAGAATCAGAAAGTGTGCCCGGGGGTAAACTGCCTTCTTCTGGGTCGATTCGATATTCATACCTCTTTTATACCATATGCTGCACTTTGTTATATGCCTCATGTCTGGGGTTGTGGGGAAATCAGCTGATCCGGGGTACAGACATTCTGGGGTCGGGATTAAGCCCTAATCCGAAGGCATATCGTCGTTGGGGGTGGAATAATGCCCTAACCCTTCTCATCACGACAACAAGGGCAGTTTTGATAGACGATACGTCTCGGCACATCGTTATTCGAAAGTAGTGCGAAGGTTACCCGAGATAAAATCTATACACTATGGTATCTGCATACCATACGGGTATCTCCTGGGATATCGAACCCATGGCGATTCCCGTACCATGTCGAGATGCCATTCTTCGCACCTTGTTACTAGCGACATCTACATTGTCATCATGCTCGTACAGGAGAGATTGATATACATAGCCTAGTTTTATTGTATTTAACTACCTCTGCTTACATCGCCTTCAGCCTCGCCTTCCCTCAGCGACTCTTCTCAGAACATCATCAACCATGAGCTGACCGGACCCGAGATAATTCAATGGATCGCACAATTGGGCCAGCTTGGTCTCATTCAAATGCTCTGATACCTCTTTATTTTCCTTAAGCACGTCTAACAACACTCGATCATGTTCAATCGCTGACTTGCAAGCCTCATAGACCACGTCGTGTGCTCGTTGTCGGCCAACGAACGGTGCCAGCCCCATCATTACGGCCTCCCCGACAATCAACCCCCTTGTGGAGTGGAGATTCTTCTCCATGGAGTCTTCTTTCACGCACAGTCCTGATAAAGCAAAAGTGGTCTGATGCAAAGCGCCAACTGCGTATGTAAAGGACTCCGGGATTGCCACCCACTCCAAATGCCACGGCCCAGACGCACGTTCAAAGTCGACAACCATAGCATCCAACCCCAAGGATGCATTGGCTCGGAGAAGCTTGCTTGTAGCGAGAATGATCTCGCTGGAGATGGGGTTCCGCTTCTGCGGCATGGTTGAGGAGGCGCCGCGATGTGGCACGAAAGGCTCTGCCACCTCGTCTAGCTCATTGGACGACATGACGATGATGTCCAAAGCAATCTTCCCCAGGGTACCACCTACCAGTGCCAGAAAGTTGAGAACCTCTGCAATATTGTCACGAGCGACATGCCACGTGATCATCGGGTCTTCCAGATCAAGCTCTTTAGCTAACTGTGCTCGCACAAGTATCCCGCTCCTATCACTACCCAGAGAGGCCAGAGTCCCCGCTGCACCACCAAACTGTACCAGGAGGCATCGACGTTCGATTTCACAAAGCCGGTCTCTGTGTCTCAGGATGCTAGAGAGATAAACGGCGCACTTGTAGCCAAAGGTGCAAGGCAAGGCATGTTGCAAGTGCGTACGGCCGGCCATTGGACTAGAGTGGAGTCAGCATGCAAATATCGCTAAATCACGCTCAATGCTCAACTTACGTGTCACGGTATTTTTGCGCCATCACTTGCAAACTCTCAATCAGTCTGTTCAGATCGCGCTTCACCAAATCCAAGCCTCTTTTGATCTGAAGCATGCTGGCATTGTCCATGACATCCTGCGTAGTGGCACCCCAATGAATGTATTTCGCCAGCTCTTCAGGAGTGTTCTCCACCAACTGCATCACCAGAGGTAGAACAGGATATCCGACAATTTCGGTCTCTCGAGAGAGCCTCTCAAAGCTATTTTATTATCTTCAGTCAATGGTCAACTGTTTCACAATGATCTCGGGTCACGGTCCACGTACTCTAGTTCGATGTTACCAAGAGCCGCGGTGATCGCATCGCCAACCTCTGCTGGAATAGCATTGACTTTGGACTCTGCCCGAGCCAGGGCTGCTTCCGTCTGTACCAGGAATTTTGCATACGCTTCATCTGTAAAGATTTCACGAACCTCCTCTGTGCCAAAGAGGTTCCGAAAGATGCGGGAGTCAACAGCTGATATAGACATCGCGGCTGGATTTGCACAAAAGAAACGGGGAAATGGAAAGGGAAAGGAAAGAAGATGTCGAACTCAGTGGAAGGCAAAATCTGGATTGACGAGAGAATCCCAAGTCATATTCATGGGGGCTTGAGTCTATTAATGGAGGATTGACTTCGAGTCCTCTAAATTCCACTCAATCGGGAGACAGCGGAATAGTGCCTTATCCCGAACCCTGTATCCACCTCCACCGAACAACCGGAGATGTCGACCATTACTCCGCTTTTGGGTTCTTTAGAGAGTGCCTTTCATTTTTTACATTCTGATTCTTACCTAATCCGGGGCCCCTTGACAATATTGGTGTTAGATTCTATGGAAGCTTTCAAGTATCAGGGCGTAACCGTGAATCTGTGATTGAGTGTGGAATACAACAAGCTGGCGCTAATACTAGGACAACTGTCAACTACTTGTAGTCAACTGCACGACGGAGGTCTCAATTTCTATAGTAGATGCCCGAGCCTATGCCTCAGGGTTTGTGTGTGTTCAAGTCATTCACTAGACCCGATACAGATCCATATATCGCTTACAACATCCGTGTCCCTCCATAAATATACGAAAGCAATAATACGGATCCTCAAGAGAGCTTGATGAGATAGGCTGAACCACCGTATTAAATAGCATACGAAATATAGCACGGAAATATAGCACGGAAATATAGAGACTGCATGACTCCCCACCTTACCCGGAGCACCAGTCTCCAAGGCAAGGCAAGACATGTGGTACTACTAACCAGAGCCAACAATGCTAAGCGTGCAGATATAGATTTACCCACGCTAGCACGGTGTCTTTGTCCCTGACATTGAGCTACCACTTGATTAAGTATAATTATCCAATGAAAGATCTTCTGTACGACAGAACCTTGTTTTTGAAAAGAACATGCGAATATATTAAACATATCAAGAGCTACTAAACTTCTATCTGAAAGAACATTATATTGTTTGTAGCCATATTGTGGTAAACGAACGACGGGGGGGAAAGAATCAATGATTATATGTAAACGAGTGACAAATTATAAAGCTGAACAAACAGAGATCGATTTCAGGCGTTCAGATTAGACTAACACAGTCGGGTCGAAGTGATAAAAGGAAAGACAGGACATTCTGGAAAGAAGTTTGTTCTCAACTTTGGCACCGTCACCTATCCAGGAAGAAGCCCGCTTAGTACTCTTCACAGTCCTCGGGAGGGGGAGCTTCACATGCGGCGCAGTCGGGACTTCCGCCAGTAGTAGAAGACGAAGAGCTGCTCGAGGAAGAAGAGCTGGAAGAGCTAGAGGAGCTAGAAGAGGTATTGCCTCCGTTGTGTGTTCCCGTCTTGTGGCCAGAAGTGTTTCCATCGGTTGGAGGGTTACCGCCAGCAGGGGGATTGCCGCCAGCCGGAGGCATACCGCCAGTGGGAGGGTTGCCACCAGTGGGAGGATTGCCGCCAGTAGGAGGAGTGCTTCCAGTAGGAGGGTTACCGCCAGTGGGAGGGGTACAGGTACTGTCACCTTCCTCGCAAGCTGTATTGCCAGTGGGAGGAGTGCCGCTAGTAGGGGGATTGCCAC